CTGTAGTATTTACTTTTGCTTCTAAAATTCCTAGAATGTCGAAGGAAACCTAAAAAATAATATTTTTAAAATGTATTTTTAGTTCGATAAAGTATAATTACCTTTTATAAGTATTTGGTGTAAAATGTTGCCGGACATTCGGTTAAATGTTTATCTTCTGGTTTACAACGATTGATCTGCAATTTTTTGTTTTTATTGTAGTTTTTTTTTTATTTGGTGTCATCGGCATCGACTGCTAAAGATACTTAATGAATGAAATAATAAATTTACATCAGGCATTGTAATCTGAAACAAAGACAATGGTTTAGAAAATAGTTATCTATTTTATAGAGGACCCTTACCAAATCTATTCGAATGTATAAATAATTATTTATAAAATAAATTCTGGATGTCGAAAAATAAACCATTAAAAAAGACAATTGACAAGAAAAACTGACAAGTGACAATTGACATAAAACTAAACGTTCTGAATTCAGATTTGTAATGTTTACGGTAGGTTAACTAGTGCTGCGTTTGAGAATCCACATCGGATGCATCTGAGATGTAAAAAATCTTTGATCACGTGATTCAGTATACGTAAATGTAATGGGACAGATGTGTCCGATGTGGATAAAAAAACGCTCGAGATGTAAAAAATGCATCCGATGTGGATTCTCAAACGCAGCATAGGTAAATAACAAATAGAAGTTTTGCGAGGTTTTGATTTCCCTCAACAACTTCTCATGAACGTTGCATTTACGTTGTACAGTAATGTTATTACGTTCCCTTAATGCAACATCGCCGAAAGGCTTGGCAACGTTATGTGCTAGCTGGGAGGTCTCTTGATTATTTATCGGGTGTAGAAAAAATAGCGTATGCAACTCTCATGTAATATGGTTATTAAAACACTCGCATAAACCATACGAAACTCGCCTTTGGCTCGTTTCGTACCTCGGTTAATGCTCGTGTATTAATAACCATCATTACATGATCGTTGCATAATAATACTATTATAAAACTTGCAAAAAAAAATTAATATCTAATATTTACGCCAGCTGGGAACATTTGTGATACCAATTTATTAGAAGCCAGAGAAAGCTCTTCTAGTTCTTGTATTGCATAAACGTTCCAGTCCTCAGACGTATATTTAACTCCGCTTTATATTAATACGAATAGGGTCGGATAAAACCTTCCACGGCTTTCAAAACGCCGCACCGCTGTGCCGGTCGGAGTGGGGGGTGTTAGGTTTATTTTCGTTGCGGAATTTCTTGATTCGGTCGCCACGCTCAAAGCCCGCGATAAAAGCTATGCAATAGCTTAAAAACGACAAATTTTAAACTTAAATTTTAATCCCATCTTGTGGGCGATTAGATTTTGGGCATAATCGGGAAAAGCTGAGGTGTACTTTTTAAAGGGGATTTTTCTTTTAATGAGATTTTTTTGCGATGTCATTTCTCTATAATTTTTGTACTATACTTTTCCTAAAATGGACCGTAATGGAGAAATTTTAGAAAAAGTGCAAAATTTTTATTTTTTAGTATTTTCGTTGGCAATGAAGATATTTATTAAAAAAAAACTGTTTTGAATAATTTTTATATCATATTCTAATTTCTAAACACTTTTTGACTAGAAGAGCCGTACTCAATATATTTGAGAATAATTATTTGAAAACTTTACAGGAAAGTCATGTGTTTAAAGGCTGTATGTCACGATACTAAATTAAGTACTAAATTTAGAACTAAATTAATGCATTTTTTAAGAACTAAAAAAATTCACGTTGCAAACAGCAAATTTAGTACTAAATTTAGTGCTAAAAAAAGTCATTAATTAAGTACTAAAAGTGCGCCGAAATGTTGCGCAGAAGTTTTTCATAGAAAAAGTTGACACGACGGTATTTTCTGTAACCTTTTATTTTTAATTAGCGACAATTTTACATTATCGCCTTGAATAAAGTTCGCTTGTTTGATTTTGTAGGTTTTATCCCAGTATAAAGAACAATACAGTAGCGACAGATTGCGTCGGCTTCTTTGATGTCGGGGTGGTCAGATTTTCAATGACAGTTGACGTTTTTGTCGCTTATTTCTACACGGAGAAAAGTAAACTCTAAAATTGCAAATTAGCGATGTACAATTAGAAAAAAATTAAAACATGTACATATAACATTTTAATGTATTCTAGGCAAATAAATTAATCAAAATATTGTGTAACTTAAATAAATGAGTTCCGGTGAAAATATAGATGTGCCAATTTTAAAATTTTATCATTAGAATAAAATAAATTACTTTTGTATGCCATTCATTGTATGAAATGTGTCAAACAGTTTTTGGTTTCTTCCTGGAACTAACAAATTAACTCAGCACCTTATTTTTTTATTTAAAATGAGGTTATGTAGGTATCTTTTTAGAAGTGAAACAACATATAACAATAACATTTATTAAAACACACAATTACAAATTAGTAAGTTTTTAATGAATTTACAATACAAGAATTATTTTATTTCAATTTTTGTTCCTACGTACAAATTTTTGACTTCAGATGAGTTTTAGCAAATGCCTGTTGTAAGTCACCCGTTAAGCAAAATGCTGCCCAATTGCTTATATTACCTATGTATATAATTAAATACTATTAACGTCACATCATAAAAATTAGATGTTTATATTTAACGATTTTATGGTTTAAAATTTGTATGGGAATGGTTATCTGCTGCGGGATTTAAATATTTAATGGCTAGAAGAATCAACAGTGACTGTCTAGAAAAATTTGTTGGGTTCATTAGGCAACAGGGTGGGAATTTAATTAATCCAACACCTGTACAATTCGAAAGGGCATTTAAAAAACGTTTTTGTCAAAATTATCTTCATTGCAATTCCATGAATTGTAATGAAGACCTGGACAAGCACTTGCTACAATTAGATGTACAAAATATTGTCTCTCTGTATCCTGAAATAAATAAAAACACTCAAGAAGCTGTTTTTCTTCCTAATTACAGCTACAGGACAAGATATAATAGTTCAAAATCCATTTAAATATGTTTGTGGCTATTTGATCAAAAAAGCTTTAGGCATACATGGATGTGATACATTTATTAAATTTTCAAAAGAATGTGAAGATTTGGATAGTTCACAGATTTTAACATATGATTGCAAATAAAGCACTTATGGAGGCCTAAAAACTCCAAATGAAAAGTTTATTATCTATATATTTAAATTATAAAAAAATGTTATATCTATTTTTAGCAATACCTGTGTAATGTCTGGTATATCCCATAGCTTTTTTTGATATTATGAAAGAAATAGAATTTAATCATCCTTGTCCTAATTTCCCTAACGTATATATCATACAACTGTTTATAAGATTATATATATTATTGTTTAAGTGCTTAAATATTGTATAAATGAAACAAATCAAAAATTAAAAAACAGTTAAAATAATAACACCACAAAATACATTTTTTTGTTTTCTTTTTGCTACTTTACAAGAAATACATATATATTTTGATTAGATGTAGTCAATCAGAACATTTTTAATCAATGGACATAGTGAATCAAAGAACATCTAATTCATTATAATAATTTGGAGGTAGGATTTTTGATTAAGAATGTCCAAAGGTTGCACATGGTACGCTTTCAAAAATGTCTCGTTCATGTTCAATGATAGTCTCAACAGAGGAAGCACTTGGTCGATGTACTAGGGAGAAGATATACATTTGGCTGATGACCTAGATGGATAAAAAATGTGGGAACAGCAGTAGGCAATAAACGTTTACGGTTCAACGTTTTAGAAAAAAAATTCTTCTCAAAATGTTTCTCACACAACCTGTAATTCCGATGAAGACTGTTCACATCTATGTTACTCAAATCTTCCCTATTACAAGCTCTTAACCACATGTTGGCCCTAAAATATAAAAAAGTTGATAACAAATGTTTAGATTGACGGTAGTTCAGAAATTATATATTTTTTACATTATTTTTGTTGAAATTGTAAAAATTGTCCTCAAGACATTTAAATAATAAATATTTGGTTGTCAAATAAATATTTGGTTTTCAAATATAAAAATTGAAAGTATTTTCTCAAGACATACCTTTATGGCTCCATGGGAAATGCAAAATAACTTGTCCCTTTGTCTGTTTACTCTGTTTGAGATGGACAAGGGCGATAGACACATCTCTTTTTTTTCTGATCAGGTGCAGAAGCCATTTCAAAAATATCACACAATAAATGAAAAACTAAAATAATAAAAATGTCTCAAAATATACACTGCAAACAAACAAAAATAATGTCATATTTACATCGCATTGACACTATTGACGTTGACGTTTTTGTCGCTTATTTTCGGACATGCGCAGAAAAATATGGACACCTCATAAAAAATGATCTGTCGCTACTGTATTATTCTTTATACTGGGGTTTTATTGTGTTTTTTTCGTGGTTTTTATGCTGTATTTGGTTGTTGTCAAGTCAACTAGTGTCAAATTGATAATAAAAACACCTTTACTTGTCTGTTTTACACATAATATTTCATTTCTCTGTTAATTTTACGTATTAATACGTCAATGCGCGTGCGCCTATAGTAAATTTAGTACTAAAAATTGGTATCGTTGCAAACGGAAAAAAATATTTTTAGTTCTAAATTTAGTACTAAATTAATAACTAATTTAGTGCTAAATTTAGTACTTAATTTAGTATCGTGACATACAGCCTTAACACAAAATGTATAAATTTGTTGATGATGAATAGTAATCGATGTAATCCGATTCCTTAATTCGATTCGTTTAAAGAAAGGACAAAGTACTCGTGGGCTTCGAGCATTATGCTCTAAGCTCATGGGGTATGAGGAAAACATTGTATTCTAATAATTTTACCTCAATCATATTATGTCATAAAACCATTTCTGGAGAAAAAATACGAAACAAAGATTTTAGTATGGACCATCGATTTTTTTTTTTATTTTCAAAATCGTTGATAAATTATCGATTTTTCTGTCATTTGTTTTAATACTTTTAATTGAACATAACCTCTTATTCTGTTTATTTTATTTGCCAACCGTGCAGAGATAGCAGAAATAAGGATAATAAAAATCGTTTTGCTGATATCCAACTGATAGGAATCGTTCAATTCAACTCTTCACATATGTATCTTTCATATATTCACAATGGAGATTAAAACTTTACTGTTTTTAGGGTCAGCTTTTGCAACTTCTACACTTCTTTTTGTAAGTTTTTATCAATTAAATAAGTTAAAAGAGGATTTTCATTATTATAATTTACTTTCAGATATGTATTCTTCTAATAGCCACAGCTAGAACATTTCCTTTAGTAATTAGAAGTAAAAAAGAAAAATATTTTGTTGATCCAGTGACTGGGAAACTAATACAATTTCCTTCTATAAATGAAAAATCTTCAATTCACTTAAGCGTTATAGTTCCCGCTTATAATGAAGAAACGAGACGTAATATTTGATTTTTATATTTATGCTAATTAAAGATTGAGATAAAAGTTTAATTATTCGTTATTGGGTTATATTATTATAGAAATGTTTTTTGTAGTTCTTCCAATGCTAGATGAATGTACAGAATTTTTGGAAAGCAGGTGTAAAAGTTCTGATTATAAATATGAAATCATAATAGTTAGTGATGGTAGTAAAGATAAGACTGTAGATGTAGCACAAAAATATGCCAAAAAATTAGGGTCAGATAAGCTAAGGGTATTAGACCTTGAAACTAATAGGGGGAAAGGTGGTGCTGTAAGATTAGTAAGTAAACATCTTATATTTTAAATCCATATACCAGTAAATAATTTTATTTTTTAGGGAATGCTGAGTGCAAGAGGGTCAGTACTTTTATTTGCCGATGCAGATGGAGCTACCAAATTTGCAGATTTAATCAAAGTTGAAGATGGTTTATCTAATTTGGTAAAATGTAAGTATTTTACAAATTGTTCTTCTAATATATTTGGCATTTTTGTTAGTTTTTATATGATGATAAAATAGTTATTATTTTCAGATGATTATCAAAAACAACCATCCAAAGTAGAAGATAAACTGGCAATTTCTATTGGTTCTAGAGCACATTTGGAGGAAGATGCTTTGGCTTCTAGAAGTATATTTAGAAACATTTTAATGCATGGTTTCCATTTTCTTGTTTGGTTGTTTGCAGTAAGAGGTTTAAAAGACACACAGTGTGGTTTCAAATTACTAACCAGAGAAGCAGCTAGAATTTGCTTTGACAGTATGCATGTTGAAAGATGGTAAATTCACTTAATTTTTACCAATTTGCAATATCAATTTATCACGTGAATTTTCTAGGGCATTTGATGTGGAATTGCTGTATATTGCACAAACTTTAAAAATTCCAATTGCCGAGGTCGCTGTAAACTGGACAGAGATTGACGGTTCAAAAATTACTCCAGTATGGAGTTGGGTTCAAATGGGTGTAGATTTGGGTCTCATTTGGTTAAGGTACACTATTGGAGCATGGAAAATAAAACCAGTGAAAAAAGACTAGAAAACAATTTTGTATTATTTATATACTAATTTCATTTACACAATAAATTTTATGTTAATATTTTTTGTTTTTAATGTACATTCTATAGCAGAGTTGCGGCGATAATTCTGCCCGTGAATGTCACGAGCCAGAATGCTGAATCTATACTGGCATTGTTCATAGCTATGAATTTCCGTCCTTTTTATAAAGTTCGCGAAATTGACTGTAGTTGTCAAATAACAGCGGTGTCAATTTTCTATGTAAGTCAATGTAAAATGAAGTGATTTTTTAAAAAATTTACGAAAAGAATCAAAATAATGAGTAAAAAAGTACCTGAGTACAAGTAACATGAGTGACAAAAAACATCAAAGCAAGATTTACTTCATTCCAGATTGTAAAACAGGATTCCAATCAAATGTAAAACTAAAGAGAAATCAATTCAATGTATTTTTAAAGCTTCCAATGTAAGTAAAATATTGTATTTATGTCTAAATATAATACTTATTGTAAACTAGTCACAATATGTATCTTATGGAGTGTAGTTTATTTTATTACAACTTACTATAATATAAAATTTTACAGTCATAGATCCTGACTTACAAACAACAATAATTATACATTAAATTTAACTTACTAGAAAAGAAAATTTATTTTTTACAGAGTTTTAATGTTAGATAAAAGAGTTGCTACTGTTATTTTTTTGTTGAACCCCAATTGTGTCATTGTAAATGTTTTTTATAGGATACTAAACTAAACCGATAAGATCCATTATTGATTTTATCGGTTATTTTAATTTTTCTCCGTTTTTTGCAGTTTGACCCTCAATTTTGACTTCAGATTCGTGTTCAGCGGTAAAAAATACGTCGGAAAATCTTTGTCGAACACCCAGCACAGACAACTTTTTTTTTGTGGACCTGTCAAAAAACGGAGAAAAATTAAAAAAACCGATAAGATCTATTTGATTTTATCGGTTGTTTTAATTTTTCTCCGTTTTTTGCAGTTTGACCCTCAATTTTGACTTCAGATTCGTGTTCAGCGGTAAAAAATACGTCGGAAAATCTTTGTCGAACACCCAGCACAGACCACTTTTTTTGTGTGGACCTGTGTAATTTATCAATTAAAACATGCAAGACTTATTTAGAAATAAATACAACGGTATGTTCTTTATTTAGCTATTAACAAGTTTATTTTTATTATTTTGACAAAATTATATGCGTGCGTTTTTTGGGATCGTATTTTGAGTATGCCGATTCGTCTCCATATTCATAGCATATATACAAGTAGGTTGGCAGAAGAAAAATAGAAACAGATTTTTATTAAATAAAAAACTATATTATACTAATTAAAAATAAATAATATTCAAAAAACTAATAAATAAATTAGAAGAAAAATAAATGTAAATATTTAATAAAATGTCAAATAACTAAAACAAAATAAGCAAATCTTGAAAAAACAAATAAACGAATCGATGTGAATCAAATTTTAACAATACAATAGCGCCGTTTTGTTTCAAGACACAAAAATTATTTGGGGGGTGGGTTGGCTCAGTGGTTAGAGTCATGACTTTGAGATCGGAAGGTTTCAGGATCGAATCCCACCAGTGTCAGGGAATTTTATTTAATTTAAAAAAAAAATTAAATATTAATTCTAATGCATAGGCAGGATTCTCCACTCGACCATTCACTGTTAAATAAATAATGTTTCTTATCATTGGCCTTTTCGTTTTTTTGCTGGCAATGAAATAATTTGCTTCTAAACGTCTCTAAAACAAAAAAATCCCCTTGCAAGCAATCAAAAGGAGCAAAACGAGATGACAAAAATTCCTGGATTTGAGTTAGGTTCATTAAAAGGCGTTTTCGAAATGTATATAAACGTTATACAGGGTGAGTCGGGAGGAGCGCACCAAACTCTAGGAGTATATATTATACACGTGAAAATAATGTAAAAAAACTCATATGTTCTTATCCGATTTTCATTTGTTTTCAAGTTATGGCGTAATTAAAAATGTTCATCTAGCTTTCCACTTCTGAATTTTAACATTATCAAAGTATGCCATATGTTCAAGGCTCAAAGGCATTTGATAATTCTGACGTTTTGATGAACTCTCACCCAGACAGCACACCAAATCCTTTGGATATCTACTGAACATCCCAATATCCACTGAATGTCCAGTCCATGGTGGATATCTATTTTATATCCATAAAATGTAATTTATAGACATGCAAATGTCCATAAATAATAGTAATTATATAGCAAATTATTAAAAAATTACGCCATTGTGCTCGCCATTGTGGCTAATAGTACCGTTCAGATATTTAAAATTATTTTTTTTAAGGTGTATTCAATATCCCATGGACATCCACATATATCAAAGTCTTAGCGCGGACGCAAACCATCGTGGATAACTACTAGATGTAATTTTTGATTTCGCTTCCTAAGTATAGATGGCGATACCACTTTCGTATCTACTCATGCTCAACCCGCCATAATTGAGTTGATCGAACATTTTTTCGCATTAAGACTCTATTAGAGACTGGAGTCGAGAATTTCCATTTATTGCTGAAGAGTCCTAGTAAGGATGACTTTTTCCTTAGTGGGCAAACTCAAAGACAGATTGTTGGAAATATTTTTTGAGGTGTTCAAGATTCTAAAATACGCTGGGATCACCAGCATCGAGTATTAAACCTGATTAAACCTCGGAAGCCCCCTCGTAAATAATATTAGGTAAATGTATTATTGGTTGCCTAACTTTAGTATTTGTTGACTTTTGTCATACTCCTTCCTCCATGGTCATACTTTTGTGAAATCTTGTAAACGTCAAAATATGTTAAATTTGGAGGTTAGTTTTTAGATATTAATTTCTAAATGTTATTATTGTAATGTCAACTCATTAACCTGCTGTGTATATTTTGTAGCATTTATAAAAATGTTTGCCCTCTATAGGAGACCTATAGTTGCCCTTAGTGGTATACGCAACAAAACTGATCGGGCTGTTCTCGAAGAAATGATCAGGGTTGATCATGCAGGTGAGCTTGGAGCTGATCGAATTTACGCTGGCCAAATGGCCGTTTTAGGAACAACTTCAAAAGGTCCACTGATCAGGCATATGTGGGATCAAGAAAAACATCATAGAGCTACTTTTGAAGAACTTATTCGTAAGCATAGGGTGAGACCAACTGTTATGACTCCTATTTGGAATGTTGCTGGCTTTTTGTTAGGTATGTAAAACAAAGGTAATTGATGAATTAACAGTAACCATTAAACACTATGCGTTTCACTGCAATTTTTAATTGTAATGTAATCATAATAGTTAATTACATTTTTAGGAGCTGGAACAGCTATGCTTGGGGATAAAGCAGCCATGGCATGCACAGTCGCAGTTGAGACAGTCATAGTGGACCATTATAATGATCAGCTTAGAACATTGCTAGAAAATCCTGAATGTAACAAAGAGCTTATGGAAACGATTACAAAATTCAGAGATGAGGAGCAGGAACACCATGATACAGGAATTGACCATGGAGCTGAACAAACTCCTTTTTATAGTGCGCTGTCTAATTTAATAAAAACCGGATGCAAAGTTGCCATATCAATTTCCAAAGTTATTTAAAATAGTTTTTGTTTGAATATTTTACTTTATTATGTACTCGAAAATTATGTGTTATATAATTTATTAATAAACGTTTTTGTAAAATAAAATATATTCTATATTTATTATGGACACCACCTGATGATAAATCACATTTTATTGGACTGGTTTTAAAGCCAGGATCCCCAAATAGTGGCACAAAAAACTTCAATATACCCTGCAGTCTCACCAAATTTGAGTGCTCTAGGGATTCTGGAGACAGACTAAGGTAATATCAGGAAGTCTGAAGGGTGAACAATTATTATTTTATAGAATAATTTGAAAAATTATTATTCCAATTAATTTACATGGGACACAGAACAACTGAAGATTCTCTGACTAAACATAAGATGATTAAATGAAACATGTTTAGACAAAATATTTCTAGTTTCTGAAATACAGGGTTAAAGTTGAAAATTCAAAAATTAATAATGGCTATATTTTTTTTCTTTCTCAGTAAAATTTTACTAAATTCGGTAAACATTTTTGGTATCATGATACACCTATCAACAAAACAATCAGTTAAATAAATTTTGCCAGTGGTGCACGACATGGATAAGTAACACTTTTATCCCCTCTAAATCTTACGTCACTGTCCAAAAACTTATTTGTATTATACTTTTACATTTTTTGATGTTTTTTAAATAAATCATGTACTCTTGTTGGGAACTCAAAAATTGATTGGTTTTCGAGATATTCACACTCAAATGTGGATATTCCTCATTTTGATTAATTTTGTATTTTTTTTTATTTTTTATAAAATAATACTGAGCAAACGTAAATCATAAAAAATCAGTTAAATAAACTTTGCCTAGTCATCCCTTCTAAATTTTACACCACTCTCCAAAAACTTATTTGGACTATAATTTTAAATTGTTTGAGGTTTTTTAAATAAATTATGTACTCTTGTTGGGAATTTATAAAAAAATCCTGAATTAAAAAATAAATTAAAATAAAGAATATCCATTTGTAAGTGTATGAATATCTCGGAATCAAATAACTTTATAGTTCCCAACAAGAGTACATGATTTATTTAAAAAATATCAAAAAAATTTAAATTATAGTCCAAATAAGTTTTTGGACAATATATGGAGTAAAATTAAGAGGGGATTATGAAGGTGTTACTACTTATCCATACCGTACGCCACTGTCAAAGTTTATTTAACTGATAGCTATATATTACATTATCAGAGACAAAGGTTGTCTCTGCTTATATACTGAGAAATAAAAAAATTGAAGCCATTAATAATTTTTGAATTTTCAACTTTAACATCCTTTAATCAGAGTAATGTAAGTATTGAAAATAGCTCAGATCCATTTTCTGGACAAGAGTCAATGATATATAAATAATTATAATAATAGGCCCTATTAACGAGCAGATTATTCGTAATAAATACATATCTACCTCCTATTTTTAACCCACCCCGTATTTATTTCATTTCTTAGTATTCAGTGCTGCCTGACTATCAGGAAATCGTTCGTTCACTTTCGGCGTTTGTGCATTTAGTCACCTGTTCAAGAACCGGTTGCTGGTTGTAAAATACCAATTCTACCAACCTTCCAAAGATAACCTCGAGCGTCGTCGGTTTGATTCTTTGTGGTGGTTCTTGTTTGAAGTAAAAATTTATATTCAACCAATCGAATCTCACCATCAATAACTTGTTGCTGACTCAGAAATGGATATTAAACTAGAGAACAGGAGCGTCACATTGTAGGGGTCTATCAATGAGAAAAATTTGGCACTTTTTAATTCTTTATTTTCGAGATGATCTTTTCACATTTGGTGTTTTTTATAAGTGTTATTCAGTATTCATGTTATAAAAATAAAATTTGACAAATCCTTGGCCGAATATGGCCTTGTCTATGATGTTATTAATTATTAAAAATCATTTTTAGAGTTTCATTTATCTCATATATAAGATGACCACATTTGAGACTTTGAGAGGTTAAATTCTCTTCTTTGTTTTAAATTCATTATAATTTTAGCCATTAGGTAAGTAGAATATAAAAGAAATGCGTATAGCATCATATTAATGTTTTTTTTTGCAAAAAAATTAAGTACATGTAATGAAAAACCAATCTCGACAGTAGTTAATTTTTCTAAAATCATAATACAATTTAATTACTTTTTTAAAAAGGAACTATATACGTGTGTACATAAAAAGTATATGGAATAAATTTATTATAAGCTAAACAAACAATTTTGACGAACAATCTTGAAAAGGTCGATTTTTGATTTAAATTTAATGTATTTTTACATAACAATGAAATATATAGGGTAAACCATTTGTGAGTAACGATATGTCATCGACAATTTTTTTTAAATACACTCCTTGTATATTTTATTTTTTAGATGGTAAATTTCAAGACTATTCTAAAAATATATCATACTTAATAGTTTTGAAGATACACAATAATTTTAAAATCTGTATATTTCAAGACCTCTAATTATATTAAAATAAAATAATACAACAGTAACAATAAATTTGCACACAATATAAAGTAAGTGTTCGAATTGTCTTTCTGCATATGCTTGAGAGTGTCCTAAGTGAGTATTAAAAGAGTAGCCTACTGAATTATCACGAATTTTTACATCTGATAAGTTTTTACCCAAAGGTATGCCGGTATTAATTTACCGAACACAAATATAGTATATTTTTGGAATCGTCTTGCATTTTACAATCTAAAAAAAATTAAATATACAGGGAAAAATTGTCGATGACATTGTTTTAAATTTAAATCAAAATTCGACCTGTCTCAGAATTTTTCTTCAAAATGTAAACTATTTATTTACAATTAAGTGCATACGATAAAAAAATTGAATAATTACTTTAGTGATAAAAAGTCAATAAAAATGACAAAAACTGACAAATAACTGCTTAAAATTTTTAATTAATCTCGTACAAGTAATGGTAATGCAAAGAAGACATTGCATATGTGTTGGAAATATGTTGGCACTTAAGCGCAATAATCCAGAAAAATTAAATAATTATATAAAAAAATGGAAAAGGCACCTTAATAATAAACACGAGTTTTTTAAAAGTTTATTTTGTTTCAGAATATAAAAAAGTTTTTGTACACATTAAACAAAAGAAAAAGGTAATGAAATTATTACACTTCAAACGTAATGTGCAGCGGAGCACTACGAAAACTCGTTTTTAATATTTGAATCAATAACTTTTTTTTACAACAAATTTATCGGATTTTGTTGCACAAGTATACAACAAAATTCCGCAGGGTGTGTGTAAGCATAGTTTAAAGAAGTGAAAAAATTGTAGATTAAAAATCCAATTTTGATAGAGAACATATATATGTGTTACCCTTAAATAATTATGAACAAAACAGATTATTCTCATTTACAATTATATATGTATAGTACTTAATTAAACAAATCAAACATAATTTTCAGTTACTAAGTGTAATATAATGGTAAATTTTTTACCAAAAATTAATTACCCAGCTCAGTCATCGGAACTATCAGATTTAAATGCTACGACAACATAAATTAGCACTTATTGGCCAATATTTAAATATATTTACTAGTATCTTAATAGGCGATTTTAAATCATTTACTAGAAAAGTGACCAAAAGTCAAGTGTGGTCAAGGTTCTTACGTCAATATAATGACGTTCCATTAATCTGATTTAAAAATGTTTGGTTTATAACTTGACAATGCGCATAACATTGTCAGATATCGCCAATTTTTTTTTTTTTTTTTTTTCGATTTATGGCCTAGTTGTATAAACCTAATATACCAGTCTAAGTTTGTGTTTAAATTCTCAATCATGTTTTCTGGTGCCTCTTCAGGAACAGCACTGTTAATTAGAACCCAACAGTGAATAGTCGAGTGGGGAATCCTACCAAGGCATCAGAATTAATTTTAAATAATTGAATTAAATTAAATAAAATCCCGGCCAACGGTGGGATTCAAACCTGGGACTCTTATTGGACCCGCAGGCAGAGACTCTACCACTGAGCAGCCCACCCTCCTTAATTTTTGTTTGTGTATTATGAATTGTAGTTTGGATTTGGTTTTGAATTTGGAAGGATAAAAAATAAATGTTTGTTTTGTGTACTGATCATGGATGAAGAGAAAATTGGTGTTGTAATTGTTTTGACATCTGAAATTTTATCAAACCTTTTGCCATGTTCATCAATAAATCTTGACTATCTTGAAAATAAATTGGTTTTTCATTTACAAAAACCTTAAATGCTTTCATATCTAGGTAGGTACTCAGCTAGGGTTGCCAGGGGGGCTATTTTCAAACTCGAGAGAATTCATTTCCATCAAGAGAAATGTCATACGTCAACGTAAAACCGTATTTTTAGGGCTCTTAGGGCCAGTGTAAACTCACTGACTGTTTCTCTCGGTTTATTTAGAGATAATTAAAATTCTCCTAAGAATTTTAATCCTCGATGTCTTTAAATACAGCGTTTCCACATTGACGTATGCCATTTCTGATGAGAATCTTGAGAGAAATGAGTGCTCACATACTTTGAAAATAGGTCCCCAGACGGCAAGCTTTGGGCGCAATTGTGTCACTTTTTAACTTACTGGCACGCGTATTACGCCAAAGTACGAAAATACATTTCAACTTTTGACCTTTTTTGAGAAGCTCCTCAGAAAAAGGACCTGATGGTTTATAAAAATATAAGCGGAGGACCCTTTTTTTTAGATCTCCACAAAGAAAGGATCTTATTTTACAAAAATACCTTTTTTTTTAACCCGATTCCTGTCGTCATCGTTGTTTCACTTTTCCCTTTCGTAAATCCCTTTCATAAGTCATTCATATTCAAGACATAGTATCTGATTTAAAATCGCCTTTTGTCTTTATATTCTAAAATAATTTAATTTTTGTTAAAACTACGTCTATTCCAAATGTATTCTCCGCCTATGGGAATGAATCATCATCGCCGCGCCATTTCTATTAGTTTTTTTTAGTAAATTTAATTCGTTAGGTTGGCTCTAAGCTCGAAGGCAAAATTGACAGAAGACAGTTCAAGTTCGATGTTCGTGTGTCTTCTCTTCTAATGGTTTTTCGCTAGGTTATTTTACTTGTCAACACGTGTTGTGAAAACATTTAGCAACAAATTTGTGGTTTTTCAGTGATATATAGTGAAAATGTCGGTTTGGCAGCGTGTGGTGTAAGTTTAACTTAAAAACTAATAATTTTAATACTAATAAACGCATATTTTAGCAAACCCACCACACGAAAAGGAAAGAAGGTATTATTAAAGAAAGAGCCGCAAGTTATAGAAGGTCCCAAGAGAGCTCTATTCTTTCAAGGAAGAAAATGTTCACAAAAAATTCGAGGTTTATTGGAAGACTTATATGATTTCAAAAAGCCTGATGCTATAAAATTACATAGAAAAAATGACGTTACAATATTTGAAGATGTAAAGCCAGTAGAGAATATGTGTAGAAAACATGAATCGCCACTTTTTATGTTAGGATCCCATAGTAAGAAGCGGCCTGATAATGTAGTCATAGGCAGAATGTTCAATTATAATTTACTAGATATGATAGAATTATATGTAGACTCTTATGAAGGTCTTAAAGAATTCGCAGAATCTATTACACTAGGTACTAAACCCTGTCTACTGTTCAATGGTGCCCTGTGGGATCAAACTGATGAACTAAAACAACTAAAATCCTTATTTATTGATTTTTTTCAAAGAGAAACTGTTGATAATATTAGAATACAAGGGATTGAACACAGCATTAGTTTTAATGCTACGCCAGATGGAAAAATCCTTCTCAGATCATATAAAATTCTTCTAAAAAAGTCTGGTGTGAAAACTCCGCGGGTGGAACTGGAAGAGATTGGTAAGTTTACATTCTCAGTTGAAAAGTTCTTGAACTTATACACAGATATTTTTATGTATTAAGAAAAGTAAGAGTTTTTAATTTCAAGCAATTTTTCTTACTTTTTGAGCATCCTGATAAAAAGGAATATTTCAATTTTGGTACATGCATTATGGTTTAAAAACAATGGAGAATTTTTTTTTTTTTTTTGTTTGAAAAAGTTGAAATAAAAATGTTTTTCTTTTGTATTCTTTTTTATTTTTTGGAAACATTTTTAGGTCCCCGAGTAGATTTCACATTAAGACGATCTAAATTAGCTGATGAAGACTTAATGAAGGAAGCCTGTCGCAAACCTAAAGAACTCAAGATTGGAAAAACGAAGAACATTAGTACCAATGAATTGGGTACAACTCATGGTCGCATACATATTGGTAAACAGGAAATCAAGAAAATACAGACAAGGAAAATGAAAGGGTTGAAAAAGACTGCTGCAGAAAGGAAAGCAGAGAAAGTCAGGCTTAATAGGGCTGTCAAACCCACCACAGTAAATGGCCATCGATAGGTTTAATGTGGGGGGAACTATTTTTTCCTTATTGGGGTGAGATAGTGTCATTTCATTTTTTATTTTTTTTTTTTAATTGATTTCATATTTGCAGGACCTTATTTATTAATTTTCTTTTTTATTGATAAATACTATAAAAAAAACTATTAGGCAGTTCATTAAAAATTGTAAGTGAAATGACAATGTCACACTTTCATGTGCAAATACTTTTTTTAATAATTAAAACAAAATATTTTTGTTATCGCTAGAATAAGTGTAAGTCTGTATATATGTTACTTACATACTAATTAATATACAGTTATATAAAATTTTAAAACAACATCAAAAAAAGAACATGGTTTTTATTACTGTTTCTCATCAATATTTTACTTGTTCTTGCAATTTTTGGGTCTTGGATTCAAAAAACTCTTAATCATTTCAAATTTCCACATTTTGCATCTTTGGAAATTGTTCTTGTACAGGAATAATTAAACTTAAGTTTAAAAAAATGTTTAATAAGTGTTTATATGTACATATATGTGTATATAGGAAAACAAAAATAGAAATAAATACATAATTATTGTAATATACAAATAAAATTTAGGTTCAACAGATGTGTAAACAGTCTTAAATGTTTATGAAAAATATTCTATTTCACGTTTCTTCTTTTGGAAAATCTTTATTAATTGCAATTCAGATCGTTCTTTTAAGGCAATTTTAACTTCCTCTGTGGTAACTTCACTTAAACCTTCCCTAAAAAAAAAAATATATAATTAATAAACTTACACTTAAACAATACCCAAGGATAGGTGTATTGCAATGAAATAACTTCATTCAATTTAAGTAATTTGACCATTTTAGGATTGAACATGTTCACATGGTAAAGTGTGTTAAACACTATAGAAAATAAAACAAATCCCCTTTATGTTGAGAAAGATGGGAATAGGCAACAAATACAGAATTACAAAATTCATTTACAATTACTTGTATGGTATTTAACAAATAATTTTTTTAATAATCTCATGAGATTTAATTTACGAATTTTCTTTATTCATAACTTATGATATAAGTTTAATAAATTTATGTTTAAAAATTATTTATGCTGTACTGGAAGAGACGTTCTTTGATAATGAATATTTTAAACACTTTAGTAAGAATAGGACCGATGTGTTTCATGATGGTCAACTTTGAGATTTATTACACCCTTTGTCTGTTTGATTTCAAACGATCTTATAAGTATATCTGGAAGAGGCAGTGGCGTAACCAGCCATTTTTCATGGGAGGGGTTTTTGAAAACTATGGGGTGGGTTTCATCAAGAAAGTGAATAAAAACAGTCAATAGTGATCAGTGCCAATATTATAGCGGAAATGGTGGCGCCATGAGAAGAGGTATATGAATTCTTCAACAAATAAGATTTCAAATTCGTGCCAGGTAATAAGTTTTTGCTTTTAAAATAAATGAATGTTATAAGGATAAACTAAAATCAGTGGTGGGATATTTTATGAACACCTATGCGTAGAATATGTTTTATTTGTAGATGTGATTTAATTATGTTTGATAATTTGGTGTAGTCTTAGATGAGATAAATTTTATTTTAGGAGTTATAAAATAGTGAGACAATCGGTTTTAAAGTTCTGAAAACTTGCCAGTTAGAGAATCTTATCATTGAAAACTTAATACATTATAGGCGACCTGTGGAAGGATCTGCATGCCAATGCATGCTTTTCCCAGACGATGTTATTTAGTAGTTTTTTGAGGAATTGAATTTTTTTTCTAAATGAGGTTGGATTCCTGAAACATGGGTTAATGCTGGACATACTGTAACAAAAATTTGGCAAGATACATCCATCAACACTTAAAAAACAAGCGTCTCTTGTGGATTAAAATATCCTACAGGAAAAGAAAATCGTTTAATAATAACCCACCATTGGATTTTTACCAGACAATAATAAAAGGCCTTTATTTGTACAAAATTAAAGTGTACATTTCATTTTGGCGAGATTTAGCCGAAGCTATTCTTACATCTAACCGCAATACAGGACTTATTTTGATAAAAATAGAAAATAAAATATGTATATTGAATTTACAAAAATAAAAACAAAAAAGAAAGCAGAAATAAAATTACAAAACAAAAAAGAAAATATAAATATAACATTATTTTATGATTGAGATAAATCAGCAGCTGTCTTTATAATTTTTTTTTTTTTTTTTAATAAAAGAAGAGAAAAAAATTCCTTAATAGCAAAACTAAGGTTGTTGTACAGAGCAACCGCATTATAAGAAGAGCTGCGTGTGTAAGTAGCTGTTGAGTGACGAGGCATAGGTTATTTCTTATATTTACGTTATGCATTGATGTTCGATAAAGTAATTTATTCGTAAGATATGGTGGCTGTGAAGTGTTGATTATTTTAAATAGCAGTAAAAGAAAGAGATACTTAAATAGGTTTCCAACATTCAACCATTTACTTTCGAATCATATACCAGACCATGTGGATTTTTAATTAAATTGCATGGTTCGTTATAGGATTTGATTTGTGCCGTATTAATAGAAATTCAATTTCTGTTGATATGACCTGCAAATTATAAAAATCGATGATGGTGGGTGAGGTTTTCCTCACCTGTAAGTCAAATGGCACCATCAATCATCTTTAAGTCACCCCGGAGCGCCACGGAAAATAATAATAGCCGTCCCTTCCCCTACACAAGTAAGGGGGTGAATTAGGGAGAAAATTATTAATATTTTAGATAAAACTAAGCTTTGACGTAAATTAGATTTAATGGATTTGTCACGAAGAATGTGTTTGTTGGAATAAAGCAATCGAAGCGCACCATAGCATTGCTGTAAGATATAGTTTATCAAATCTAGATTCATCAAAGTAAAGTCCCAAGTTTTTTGCTTCACATTCATGTGGAATTATTTCAGATGGTTTATTAATGTTCGAGTCAAAGGAAACAAAAGACTACCATGAGGAAATGGATTGAAAATCGGAAAATGGCTGTAGCAATGGAAAACTTAATAGACCCTATAATAATAGACCTCAGAAAAGACAATGATAATGATACCAGTAGTTATAGTGACGACAATGACTTTTAAAGATAGTTCTTGAACCAAGAGATGAAAAAAAGTTTAATTATTAACAACATATAATCCACCTCGGTATTTATTGATTAAATTTAATTCTTTTATTGTTAAAGTGCAAGAATTTTGTCAAATTTTTTTGTAAATAATATAACTTTTGTCATTCAAAATATAATCTACGAAGTGGGTATACCTTTTTATATGCCATGGCCTTATTTATATTATAGAAACTTATTTTGCAAAGTACGCAATGGAATGTGTGACGTTATATCCCCACTCTTACTGCAATCCTCTTTTATTAAAAACATTTGAGGATAGGGGTATAATATAATGGTAAATTAGTTCTCAAGGACGGAACAACAACTCTTAATATAACTTGACAAAAGTAAAAATTCAACCAATACCTGTAATCTTCTTTACAAACTAAGTGATGATTAGCTCTCCTGATCAAACCTCCTGCTAAGCACTTGACGGCTTCCAGAATCATTCTTTCTGCACCGTTCATTATCACACCATCCGATATTTCCTCAGATCTCAGGACCACTCCGCAATTTAACGATGCTTCTTTAATAAAAGAACAGTTGTTTTTTAGACGAACGTCCGATATATCTATGCAGTTTGATTTTATCGATTGCACGGATTCATCTAAAAATTATAAAATAATTTAATATTTAACTACATAATACAACTAAGAATCTGTGGTGAGTGGTCGATTTTAACACTTACTTTCATCTGCTTCAACATCTACATCTACTTCAGCATCAATGGGTTCAATTTTGATGGAATCTATTATGGAATGCTGGAAACATTCGTCTATGAGCGTTCGATCTTCAGACGGGTTTTTGAAAAAACGGCCCGACAAAGTGCTCGCACATGCATCGTATTTATGCGATCTCGCGTACATAAAACAAGCTCGCGTGCTCCATTTTTTGTTCAATGTAGGAAAACTGGCATCTAGAATTTTTTTTATTTCTCGGGCACGGTTCCACTAGAAAAAATATGTTAAATGTCAAACAGAAATGCGCAAATGGTGAAAAGAAGTCTCACTGTATATGTAAAAAATAATCACCTCTGAATTTAATTGTTTCCCTAATGGCCATTTACCAAACTCCTCTTGTGAAGATGCAATAAACGGATATAACAATTTAAATCTCGGATTTTCTACTTTCTTGTTCCACAATTTGAATCTGTTCAACAAAAATGGTAGCGCTTCTCCGACATTTTTGAATTTATTTTTCGGTAACGTTACAATTGCATTTGATAATAAGAAATCGCTTGACTCTACACCATTGATGAAATAAAGTCTAGAATTTTCCAAAGGTTTTTGAAGAACTGTCATATTTTTAGGAACCTAAAATATGTAATTCACTTTTAACGTTTAAATTATGGGGGACTGAAACTATTTGCTTATACTTTAGTGCCGACAATTTGCACACTGACGTCATTCCAATCACGGCCTTCTTAATCTCCTCACGACAGTTATGAATGACTCAATGCAAAGACAGGAACTGCCAATGGACTGGAAACAGGCTATAGTCACTCCAATATACAAGAAAGGTAACAAAAAGAATCCCATAAACTACCGACCAGTCAGTCTTACAAACTGTATCGGTAAAGCAATGGAAAAGATTATTACAAAAGAAGTAACTGAGTTCATGATGGAACACAGAGTTTTACTAAGCAATCAGCATGGTTTTATGCCCAAAAGATCTGCTGTTACAAATCTTCTAAATGCAGTTAACCAGTGGACAGCTTGGAATGACAACCAGCCAACTGATGTGATATATCTTATGAGAAAGCTTTTGATGAAGTTCCACATAGAAGGCTGCTTAGCAAACTGGAACATTTTGGAATAAGAGGCAATCTATTATTGTGGATCAAGAGTTTCTTATTCAACCGGCAGTTCTGCGTAAGAATAAATGGATAGCTGTCAAAAAACCATCCAGTTCAAAGTGAAGTACCACAAGGCTCGGTCTTGGGACTCCTGTTATTTATTTTATACACCAGCGATTTATGCAAAATCATCGAGTCCGAAGCTAACTTTTACGCAGACGATGGAACGATCTACTGTAAGCCACTGGAAAGTTCTCACCAAATGAACAAAAGTTGAATAAAATAGGAATCTGATCCCAACAATGGCTACTACCTTTCAACATAAACAAGTGTACACGTACAGTATTGCACATAGGTCCAAATAATCCCCACAAACATTACTCCTTAGATACAAACGCAATTACTCCAGTCGAAACACAAAAATATCTTGGTGTAACCATGTCTGAAGACTTAAAATGGGAACCCCACATTGCTAATATAGTGAAGAAAGTCAACAGTCTCATTTACCTTATCAAAAGAGCGTTTAAAGACTATTCTGATCCTCAAACTATATACAACTTACATAAGACCAAAGATAGAATTTGCACAGACTGTCTAGGATCCATACTTTGTGAAAGACATTGAACTGCTGAAAAGAGTACAAAGGAGAGTCACCAAAATACCACCAACCCTAAAAAACAATGAGTATTGTGATCGGCTAGCCAAACTACAACTTACAAGTTGAAAGGATAGAAGAACTAGAGGAGACTTAATAGAAACTTACAAGTGGACCAGCGGATATTACACCTGTGATATCTTCCAGGCCAGCACATCAAGAATCTTGAGAGGTCACTCGAAGAAATTAGACAAAGGAAAGTGTAATAAACTGCAAAGAAAAAATTTCGTAACAAACAGAATTATATATCTGTGGAATGGTTTCCAGCAACATACAGCTTCAGCCCAGAACATAAACCAGAGTGGATATAGAACTCGAAGAAAGAAAAAATAGTTTTATTCATTACAGTTTATAGTGTATTGGATTTTAACTGTCATGTAGTGATTTAGAATAATTTTTGTCACTATGTCGCTTGCCTGCTCTAAATAATAATAATAATAATAATTTTAGTGATTTTATTTTTTAAAAATTTGTTTCATCCTATTTTGTGATAAATTATAAAGATAGTCATTTCATTTGCCGAAAGTCTTGTGTTTGACAACCACGTGAGATCTGATTGTGGATATTTATGGTACATAGTCATAATAATAGAGTTTATTGTCCCTATCATCCTTATGAAACAAAAAGACAAAGTATAATATAACACAAACTAAAAAGTGCAACACAGGGAAATATATTCCTGTCCCAGTGGTTGTGCTTCGGCAGAGGTTGGAATAGGTAAAGCCAATTTTTTTATTATTTCTCTCTCATTTTTATTTAAAAAGGATGAGAACATACCAAATTGTAGCAGCAACAGTTGTAACAAAAAAAAGTGAACATATACGATTATAAAAAACGTCTATTCTCTTATTCCCGCATGATTTTCCAACCTTAAAATTTCAGATGCAGTAGAAAGGTGTTCTGAATTTATAAAAGTTTTAGTAACTACACTTTGTACAGTTTTAAGGCTTTCAGTTTCTTTGTTAACATTCAATTTTTTTTTTCAAAACGAAATTCCTACTTTAAAAAAATCTGGGCTAAATTATAAAATGATAATAATTTGGTCAAACATATCACGAAATGTTTTAATCTGGAGTATAGCCAAAATTAAATTTAAGAAATGTGGAGGAAAACGTTATAGGTCCCTTATCAAAAGACGAAATTATCGTATGGCGTAAAAATTGTTAAAATAGGCTTTTAAATAAAAAAAAAAAAATATTGAATCTTAAAAATAAAATATGATGACATCAGTATGCGAACTATCGAGAATTAGGTAGATTTCGTTTGCTTTAAGAAAAGGCCAGGCACGCCATCAATCTTTTGATGAATACGCCCAATCACAGAACATCATTGACATTTACAAAGTTTATACAGGGCGTTTCAAATAAAGTACCGTAAATTGGGGGATTTGTAGTTCTTAACTAATTATTAAAAAAAGCTAAATATAATTTCCTTGTAAACGTCCCAGTTTTTATTTTACAGGGTGATAAAGTGAATCATCTATAACTCCTAGGAATTTTGTTTTCATGGACAGTGGAATATAATCATTATTTATTTGTATTAAAAAATCTGTACTTATTCTTGATCTGGAATGGAACTGAATGAGTACTGTTTTGTTGGAGTTAACAATTGATGCATTTCTTTTACACCATGCAGTAAATTCTCTAGCAACAAGAGATAATTTGGAAATAAAGTCCTCAGGTGATTCTGCATTGACAGCAACATTGGTATCATCTGAATATATTGAAATGTGACCGGTTGAAATGAAGTTAGACAAGTCGTTTATGTAAAGAAGAAATATGAGTGGATCCAATACTGATCCCTGAGGAACATCGCGAACCATATCCTTTACTTCTGATAAGCAACCATTGATTCTAACAGACATTTTACGAGAATCTATATAGAAATTAATCCATTGCAAAAAGTTACCCCTAAAACCTAAAGCACTTAATTTTCCAATAATAATTGAGATATCAATAGTGTCAAAAGCTTTAGATAGATCAAAAAAGAGTGCACCCACTAACCTTTTTCTATCCAGCTGATTGTGGACATAGTTAAAAAAGGCAGTAGTAGCACTTTCTGTTAACCTATCAGGAAAAAACCCATGTTGTTGGTCTGTAATAATTTTAAATTTAAATAAAAATGGTAACTTTTTATATATACATTTTTCAAAAATTTTACAGAGAACATAGGTCTATAATTTTCAAGAGCTGTTGAATCACCTTTTTTGAAAATAGGTGATAATACCAGTTTTAAGTTCTTTGGGGAATATGCCATTTTTTACAGGCATATTGATTAGATATGCAATTGGTTCTGCTATATAATGACCAATAGATTTAATTATTTTAGTTGTAATGCAATCTACACCCATTGCATTAGTATTTTTTAAAGAACTAATGACTGCAGTTACTTCTTGCGAATTTGTTTCATCATAGAAGAATGTATTTTTTACATGCATGGTTGTGTAATTATGAAAATTTGTATTATCAAAATTATCTCTAACAGTGTTAATAGCTATGGTTGAAAAATAGCAAAACAATTAGCTACAGTTTTTTTGTCAGATATTAATATGTCGTCAACAATGATCTGTATTGGCTTTATAGATTTGCTTTTGCCGATTCTAGAGTGTACTGTATTCCATATAATTTTTTGTTTTTGTTGAGGATTTTTGTTTTATAACAATTTTTGATAATGATGCTTTTTAGTTACATTTATTAATTGAACATTTTTTTAGATTTGTAATTTCTTAACATTTCTGAGCTGTCACAAGTTTTAGTAAGCCAATATAAATGTTTAAGATCATTACCTGTACGTATGTTTTTGTTTACTCACAGTACTGTCTAAGTCAAACGGGCGAAAAATCTTCATTATTTAGTTTCGTATTAAGATTTGCTAAGTTCGTAAAAGAAAGATCGTCTCTAAAAGTTACTATTTCATTGTTAATTTTGCTTTGTGCACATGGAATGTCTCCAAGCATAACATCCATGCCAAAATGATCATCTAAATTAAAATCAACCACAGTTTCAGTTTACAGAGAGATAAAAACAACAATATAGAATAAAAAATACAATGTAGAATTATTAAATTTAACCTGTCAGATTAGAAAAAAAAAAAAGATTTAAAATTAACAAATCTTGGAACTTTTAATATTCAATACGAAATCTGTTGTTTGAGTAGGACTAAAAACTGAAAAATCTGGGAAATGGAATGTTCTACAGAGATCAACCATGAGTCCCTTTTTTTCTGACAAATAGCATGAAGAATAATTATGAAATATAGGGTGCTTAAAAATTTTGGATGAATATTGTTTTCATAACCCTTGATTCTACGCATATAATTATTATTAATTAAATCATAATAATCATAGTAAACAAATGCATGCCTATGAATTCGTTTTGCTGTTGGTAGAATAGTAATGATGGTGGAGATCCACCATTCCAACGGCAGTGGATGTTGCCTTTGGCATGTCCTTAAAGCAAATGAATTCTGTAGTTATCAATTTTATAGTTTTTTGTTTTGATGTATAGAATAAATGAAAAAAAAGTACCACATTGTGAACATTAACAATCTTCTCTTTTAGGTAATTAAGTCCTAATCCAAATATCAATTTATTATCAACATCACCATTGACTATCACAGAATGACTTTTTGTCATATTTTCACAACTACTCTCTGGAATCTCAGTACCGCTAAGAACGGAATAGGAATGTTCCAAAAGAAACTGATTCAGGAACAAATCTTCTTTGACTTCAATTTCATTGTCGACGAATTGTTCCTCTACAACATCACAATAATCATGCTCAAAGCTCATAGATGCCGTGTCGGAGCATCCATATGCCGAATCGGATCTGGTCGAAATCAAATCCACGTTGGTGGCGATTTGATCAGAGTCGCTGTAAGCTAAGTCGCTTTTGGAAACTGGTAAAATTATTTCTACAGGTTCTAATTTGATTTCTAATTTAATTTGCATATCACTATAATCATCCCTGGGTTCCGATTTAACTAGCACCGTATCATCAAGAGGGGTGTAATCTGATTCTAAATGATTACTTTGGTTCATTGTCGAATCGAAGTTATTAAAAATATTGTTGTATGATGTACTCGGACTGTTTTCGTATACTTTTGAGCCCCACCAAGACGTCGATGGGGAATCTTCTTGAGGTCTTGTAATTGTTTCCGGTTTTGCTACGTTGTCGTGCAGATACACATCTACTACGGTTTCGTTTCCTACAATGAACAATAACATTTCAAAAACTTAACAAACCCAAGCAGTATTTTTTTAAATCATACCTAGTGTTTGACGACCTGTGAATGTCTTTTCTAATTTAAGATTGTGTACAATACTGATCGGTTTATTAAGTGGACATTTGAAGAACATTTGAACTCTTAAAGGAAATTCACCCCAACCTCTTCTAGATAGGTGAAATGGAGATTCTCTGTAATTAAAAAATATTTAAGAATCGTACGTATTCAATAATAAGTCATAAAAGAAACAAAATTACTTACTTAATCTCTACTACATCATGTGGTTTGTATGATGGATGTAAATAAAATATAACTCTTTCTATAATATGTGATATATCTGCACTATCCTTATCACCTCTAATGTACATCATCCATTTGTGTGTGGTACTATCCTCTAACGATGGGACCCATTTTGATACATTGCCAACGACTATTCTATGCCTTATCTTTTTTCTATTTTTCGAATAAATTTGTTCAGAATTTTTGGATAAGTGTGAAGTTTGTAGTTCTGATTTAATTTCTAATCTGGGCCTCTTAGGTTCTGCAGTTTGGGAACTAGATGCTTCCTTATCACAGCTCTTTGAAGCCAGCCTTCTTTTACCTTTGCCTTTAAAATAATAATACATGCAGAATAACTGTACTTGTTTTGAAAACAGCAAAGGGAAATATACCATCAGCACACGAAAAGGTGTGTGTTATCAAATTAATTTAACAACCAAAAATTATATAGTCAAGGATACCATTTTGAAAAAACTAATTTTATTACTCCATTAAATGGTAAGTTGCCTTAATCCCTAAAGTCTTTATGTTTGAAGGAAAAAATTTATATTTGCTGAGATGCAGTTTTGTAGTTGGTGGACCCTTGTAATGCACATGTCTACACCACTCTGCACTGACTTGAATATACCACATGCCACCTTCCCAAATCTCCACTTTTATTTTAGCAGTTTGTTATTGTCGTGTATTACATAATTTAAATAATATTTAATAATTATAAAATCAAAATTGACCTAAGAAAATACACATGACAATAACAAACTGCTACTTTACAAAATAGCATGCTTAAATGAAAATAGAGAATTGGAAAGATGACATGTGTCTCTTTTTTTATTATATTTTTAACCGACTTCAAAAAAGGAGGAGGTTCTCAATTCGTCGCAATATATTTTTTTAAGCTATTGCATAGCTTTTATCGCGGGCTTTGAGCGCGGCGACCGAATCAAGAAATTCCGTAACGAAAATAAACCTAACACCCCCACTCCGACCGGCACAGCGGTGCGGCGTTGAAAGCCGTGGAAGGTTTTATCCGACCCTATTCGTATTAGTATGAAGCGGAGTTAAATATACGTCTGCGGACTGGAACATTTATGCAATACAAGAACTAGAAGAGTTTTCTCTGGCTTCTAATAAATTATTATCTCAAATGTTCCCGGCTGGCGTAAATATTAGATATTAATTTTGCAAGATTTATAAAATATTAATTTTTATTTTATCAGTGTTAACTATTTCATTATTAAGCTATTGCATAGATTTTATCGCGGGCTTTGAGCGCGGCGACCTAATCAAAAACTTCCGTAACGAAAAATCAAAAAATCGAAAAAGAAATTCCGTAACGAAAATAAACCTTATCACCCCTCACTGCGACCGGCACAACGGTGCGGCGTTGAAAGCCGTGCATCGTCTAACGTCGTTTCAGTTCGGCAGACTTCGGCACAGTGTTTGTGTGCGTGCTACTAGACGTATGCGTGTAGACTAGCTGCTAACTGCTCATAACTGATTCTATCTCTTTTAGACACAATTTCGGAAAAATTGAATTTGAAAATGGATAATGATCCACAAGAATCCACAACAAAATATGGGACCACCATTGACGCGGTATTTTCCAGATATTTAAAGGATATCAAGTCTCAAACTTATGTTTCTTATTTCAGTTACCATAAACCTATAGTTTCAATGATAAAAATTCCTGAATAACCTATATGTATTGTAAGATAATAAAAATATTTTAAACAATATTAACTTCTCATTTATTCAATAAAAGAAAAAAATGTGTTTTCTTATCGGTCACCATGCTCAAAAAGTGTAACTTGAATTAATATACAAAGAAAAAAAAATACTGCATAAATAAAATAAATAAATAATTATAATTGAATAAGTTGATAAAAAATGCCATGCAATAGCTTTACCGCGGCAGTCCCCGAGTGCCACACGTATTTTTTTTACGTATGTTCAGCGATAATTCTTTAACACGGTGTCCGATTTCAATGATTCTTTTTTTGGTAGAAAGGGGGTACTTCAAAGGTGGTCCCATATAAATTTAGTCAAAACCTAATAATTGGGTCAATGAGAAAATTCTCAAACTCTTCATTTTTTATGTATGTTTAGCGATAATGCTTTACCACCTTGTCCAATTTATATGATTCTTTTTTGTTAGTAAGGGGGTACCTCAGGGGTGGTCCCATATAAATTTTGTTAAGATGTGGTGATGGCATCTGCACGTTTTTGAAGTTGTTTTTTTTTTAATTTGTAATGCTTGTATATTTATTTATTTTGTATTCACTGTTTTTCATAATATCCCTATGTATTTATCAATTTTACTATATTAATGATTTTTTGGGAAAGCTATGTAAAGGTATTTATATCTATTGGGAAATAAAGGCTATTATTATTATTATGTGTCAAATTCTAGACATCAGTGCAGAGCATAGTGGTGTGGACATGAGCATTACAAGCGACTGTAAACTACAATATTACCTAACTTAATTAATATCCTACACTACATATTATATAAAATTTAAGAATACTTAAATTTTCTTATTTTGCAAGTGAAATCTTGTATAAGTTGTACCCATTTTAAATTGTTATCAAATTTTATTAGATATTTCACAAAATATGTTTCTTTTAGTAAGATCTGGTTTCACTTAAGTAATTTTGTGTACATTTCTATAATATAAATATTTACTCATGTAGTTAAAAAATATATATAAAACAAAGATCAGGAAATTTCAATAATAATTGTAGGAATAGAATCAAATTCCATTTAGATGTCAGAAAAAGAGGATACCAACATTCTGTATCTGTAAGCTGGGAGGGTGGGTTGCCCCCAGAGATAACAGAGATATATTTATAAATTTAAGGGAGACACTATCTTTTAATACTTTAAAACTATGCTATTTTGGTTTGGTTCATTCAACTCTACAATATGGGTTAATATTTTGGGGTTCTTCACCATACTTTGAAAGAGCTTTTGTATCTCAAAAGAAGGTTCTGAGAGCCATGTATAAGGTGACACCAACAACATCATGTAAAGAACTTTTCAAGAAAACACAAATTTTAACACTACCTTCCCTTTTTATTTTTCAACTAATTTTATACATAAAAGATAATGAGCATATATTTAAGAAAAATAAAGACCTGCACTCCTATGATACTAGATTAAAATTTAACATCCATCAACCTTTTTCACGACTACAAATAAGCCAGCATTCACCAAAATATATTGGGATTAAGTGTTACAATAAGTTCAGTAACATATTCGAAGATACTACAGGTTATCATCAAATTAGTCATCATAATTTAAGAAAACATCTTAATGATTTTCTTGTAAATAATGTATTTTATAGTATAGAAGAGTTTTTGAACTTTTAAACTAATCTTAACATAAATTGTCTGTTATATATATTTTATTTTTTAATGTATTTTACACTCTTTTGACTAGTCTGATAGGATTTTACATTATGTACCTAGTGTCTTTGTATGGTGTATAATTCTTAAAGATGAATAAATTCTATTTCTATATAACAATTCATTGACAAACTATAATATTCAGGATGCCAAGATTAATTCGACAATCAATACACTCTATTTGTAGGGACGCGGCGAGGAGACGAAAGGTGAGAAGTAAGAGAAGAATTTTACACAGATTCAACTTTTTTTATCAATGAATAAATGTGTAAGCTGCTGTGCACTTATAATAATCAACATAAATATCCATGCCAGTGTACCTAATCCCTGTTGCCACTTCCAAACTAACATGACTAGGTTTTGGAATTTATTAAAAATTATTACATCTAAATAACTGAAATTACATCTAATCTTGTTAAATTTGATATAACTCATAATTCAAAATTTTTTGGGTTCAGTTGCAATAAATAGGTTGAATTATTTTAGCTTTTTTAATATATGTAAATAATGAAATAGGCATATGACAACGGTGGATATTATACCCTCCTGTGTCCCTTAGAATATGTCTTATTCAGGACTACACAGTATTTGTTAGTAGTTACATCTCTGGTTGCCCCCACATCACTTAGGCCCATTGTGTATCATCTAGGGACGGTCTCTCAGCAAGTAAAAAACTGCTGGTTAATAATGGTACTGGGAGGTGTGCAACCACATAATATCCTTTTGTCCAGATGATTAGGAAAATAAATACCTTTCTTTCTGAGGGTGAAAAAATAGAATATTGTTCATCGTTCATGGATAAAGTAGGATCCCTCTTTTGTTCATCAACCAGCCTTCTATTTTTAAAATGTCAATGAAATGACTCTGTCTATTTAGGCTGGCCAGCCTAGCAACCCTATCAAGTAGAATAAAGAATAGAAATTATTTACATACCTGCACAGAAAATATCCAATCTTGGATTACTGCCTAATAACTTCTTAACTGCTGGATGAATTCTATTCTGTTTATCGAACCCTGCAGTAGTAACTTCCTCGTCAGCAGAAACTTCCAAATCATTCTTTTTGTAATAAGAAGTTATCAACACATACCGAACCAAATGAAGTAATTTTTGTGCTTTAAATATTTTCTCTTCTACTTCTTCAAGTTGTTTTTGTCGTGAGCTTAATTCTTCGTCGAATATTTCAACAACAGCATTGTTTATCTTTTCAGCAGTTAGTTTACTTTCTGTAAAAGGAACATTGTAAGCAGATAAAAAGCCAGCTATTGGTATGACTTACCTTCTTTTTCTTTCACTTCTTTCAATCTCAAAGCCTTGTTGGTGTGTAGATAATCAGGATCTATAAGATCTTTGTCTTCATTGTGGTCCATTTTCCTTAAAATTACTAATTTATTTTTACTTAAAATTAAACATTGAACCTAACCTTAAATTGAAAAATCGATTAAACCGATTGATAGGCAACCAATAATACGCACAGATCATGATTTATATACAGGGTGTCTCCTTAAGAATGGGACACAGAATAACTGAAAATTCGTCGTTAGCAAGACGAACAGGCGTATCTCAAAATTACAAGATTTTAGTAATTATACTTTAAAGATTTTTATTAACTTTAATTTGTTATTTTTTAACTTAAAAAAAAGTTATTAACAAAATGTATCAATGCCAACATATACAGGGTGAGTCGGGAGGAGCGCACCAAACTATAGGAGTATATCATACACGTGAAAATAATGTAAAAAAACTCATATGTTCTTATCCGATTTTCATTTGTTTTCAAGTTATAGCATATTAACAAATAAACAAATTTACACATAAAAATTCTCTTAATCATAGCGTTCTTTCAATAAATGTTCAAAAATACCGCCATTGGACTTCTAAACAATAACATAAATTCGAAATTAAACGTTGAGTTACTGTTCACTGTACACTGTACACTGCCCAGACAACACACCAAATCCCAGAGATATCCACGGAATATATTTTGTGGATATCCAATATATCCAAAGGATATCAGAAATATTCCGTGGAACTAATATGGATATCCAAATGTCCGTCTATATCCAGAATATAGAAGATATCCTATGGATATTCAGCAAAATATCTAATGAGTATCTCCAGACAATACAAGAAACCCCAGACATATCCATAGAATATATTTTGTGGATATCCAACCAAATGTCCGTCTATATCCCAGGATATAGAAATTCAGATAAATATTTTATAATTATTTTTAGTAGAGGTTCATAAGTAACCAATGGTTATTAAATAACGTCGAAAGAAAATAGAGGTAAAAAATATTCCCAACAATCTGCCTTTGATTTTGCCTACTAAGGAGAAAATCATCCTTATTAGGAATCTTCAGCAATAAATGGAACTTCTCGACTTCAGTCTCTAATGAAGTCTGTTTCTGAAACAATGTCGATCAAACTCAATTACGGCGGGTTAAGCATAAGTAGATACGAAAGTGGTATCGCCATCTATACTTAGGAAGCAAAATCAAAAATTACATCTAGTAGATATCCACGATGGTTTGCGTCCGCGCTTAGACTTTGATATATTTATATTTATAGTGGATGTCCATGGGATATTGAATACACCTTAAAAAAAATTAATTTTAAATATCTCAACGGTACTATTAGCCACAATGGCGAGTACAATGGCGTAATTTTTTAATAATTTGCTATATAATTACAATTATTTATGGACATTTGCATGTCTATAAATTACATTTCATGGATATAAAATAGATATCCACCATGGACTGGACATTCAGTGGATATTGGGATGTTCAGTAGATATCCAAAGGATTTGGTGTGCTGTCTGGGCATAAGATTCAACTCGTTCTCACTCGCAGACCTATTAAACTCGCATCCCTATAAGCCCGTTAAAAATAAATGCAAACGTCCGCTCAACAGTTTATAACACATCATTGGCTGCGTTCATCCGCGCCACATGCTACCTGATCGATCTGGTAGCGCTCTCGAGTGGCACGTATGAACGGTGTATTTTGACATTTCGCTCAAGGAGCGGCCGCCATTAAAAGTAGCGCATTTTATTTACGTCTGATCGGTGATCACTGATCTGTCTTACGCACTTACGTTCACGGTTTGATTGGTGACTAGTAGGGTTATATTAGCATATTAGCAATTGAAAAATAAACAAACAAATCTTCAACCAGAGACATTCAACTCAAAAGTAAAATGAATAAACCAAAATCAAATGTCACTTTTAAACATGGTTCATCCGTGCATAAAGATCGATCCATTGATCTGGCAACCTAGGGATACGACATACGTAATCGGAAAGTGGCACCGGTCCGCCATTACTGTGAGTGCAAATTGTCAAATTTTATAGGTTATATTTTAGTGTCATTTGTGTTAATAAATTTGAATTTAATTTGTATTTGAGCAAATTTTGAGTGTTACAAACTTATAAAGTTTATAATGCCTTGTTGTGTTATATGTTCCTGGTCTAGCGATAGTCGTTTTTGTAAAAAATCGACTGGAATAACGTTTCTTAGGTTAGTATCAAAATTATAAATATTATACAGGGCAGTATTATGACATGTTTGTATAAAATGTTTAAAAGTATGCTTTTAAAAATGCAAAAAAATATCATCTATCAACTTTTAGGCCTACCTATATTGGAATAATACTTTTTCATATGAAATAATATTTACAGATTTCCAGAAAATCCTGAACAACGTAGCGCGTGGATATTTTGTCAACAGGCATAATTGGGAACCTTCTAAATTCAGCTGTATATGTTCCAAGCATTTTCTTGAGAAGTACATTAATTGTACGCCATTTCGTTTATCAAATTTAGATGCATTTTATTTTCTTATTTCTATTTAAATATAACCTACATTTGCTGCTTCCACCAGTTTTATTTATATTAGTTCTACAGCTGATTGAAAAGTAGAGCTTCATGTTTTGTGTATGCATGAATATTGTTTGTTTTATTATAGTTAATTTAAAACAATATTAATAGATCTTTTTAATTGCCTATAATTTGTTTCAGATTAGTGCATTTAAAGGAATTGGTGAAAATGAAGCGATTCGCTAGCTTTGGGGATGTTCCAGTAAAAGTGACATCGAAATTATTCAACGTTTCCAGAATAAAGCATTAAGGAACATCGTCAATGCACCCTGGTACTGCCACAATACTGATCTTCATAGGGACCTTAAAGTGGAGACTGTTGAAAATACAATACAAAAATTTGCCAGTAGTCACTAACAACAACTGCTCCAGCATGGAAACCTCGAGATTATCCAGCTCCTCAACAATGCCAAATCTAATAAGAAGACTCAAGAGACCAAGCCTTTTGAGTTAGTTCAGTGATGTTAAAGCATAGTATAGTGCAGTTAAGTGATTTAGACTCTAAGGTATACTAGAGAGTAGAATATCAGTTTGTGAAGTTTTTCATCCCTTGATAAGTTAGAATAAAATTTCTAATTGATCTTAATGATTAGATTGTAACAATCGTAAATGTTTCTTTACTTGGGGCATTTATTAAAAAAAACTATTTGTTTCAGATTAGTGCATTTAAAGGACTTTGTGGAAATGAAGTGATTCCCCTTTATATTTTATGAAATAATGTTTTAAGAATCAATATTTGAGTTTTGTGTATTTTAAATAGACATGTATATTTATAAATGTCTTTTTTTAGTCTAACAATATTTTAGAGAAAAAAGCTAGAATACATTTCTGAAATATTACTATTTAATATCTCTAAAAGATTTAAAATTTTTATTTCAGAAATATTACTGTGAAATATATTTACTGGACATTTTTACGTTTCATGCACATTTCAGAAATGTTTCAGGGATGTTTCGTAATATTTATACAACATTACAAATGTAATATTTTTGAAATATTTCCGAAATATGTTTGTGCTGTATGGGAAAGTCCTCAAGAATAAATTAATATCGAACAACGCATTAAGATGATGCTTCTCATTCTTTTATTCCTAGAGTGATAATATCTGCTAATCAACTTAACATATCTCTCCCACAGAATTTAGTAGTTATGTTTAGATTTTTCATTATTATTAATAATTAATATGTACATATTTTTAATTAATTTACCTATTATTATTTAGGATTTTATTATTATTTAATTACTGTAATATGTATTCTGTATTATTGTATTGTTTTAATGGGCTCTGGCCCATACCTAAATAATATATCCATCAAAAATAAAAAAGTATTTTCTGTTGTACGAATTTGAACACCAATAAATACTTTCAAGTCAGTTAATAAATAGTTTTTAAAACACTTTAGCATTTAAACATTATAAATTCATAATTATATTTAATTTTGTTGATATTAAAATATTATTGATTTGTTTATCAACAATAATTATAAACGTCAGTTGGCTACTTAGTACTACACTTGTCAACTACGTTTCCTTTTTATGATAAATTTAAATTAATAATATGCCAAAATAGTGTACCTTTAATGATTTTGTCATGAATATTCGCGAGCTGCTTGTATGGAGTATCGGTGACGATTTCCATACCGACAAGTTCCAAGGCACCAAACATTCACTGCAGGAGTGCGTTTAGAAACCCCGCACGGCGCGTCTGACCACATGCATTAGAATAGGGCCCATACGCGCCGTGCGGGGTTTCTAAACGCACTCCTGTGTTTCGACATATTCGAACACATGGCATACAATGTTAATATCTTTTGATATTTAAACTCTTGTAGCTTGGTAACCATGTAGAATTGGATATTTGTTCATAGGACATTTTTTGCTTAAAATTAATTCAGGAATATGATATTTAAGTTTGTATAGTGCATATAAGTTCTTATAATAATAAATATTTAACATCAATACTCTCTTAGTTTTTTTTTTAATGAGACTAGCAACAAAACCATAACCGTTTGTCTAGTATTAAAAATAAATATCACTCCTAGATATGAATAAGAAAATATTAAAACTTTATTCCTTGTACACTTTTATTTAATCACAGCACACATTATTTTCATTTACAATATTTGCTTGACGTTCATATGCCCCAGTCTATTTTGTTCACCTTTTCTAGTGGCTTTTTCTGTTAAACTTTAGTCCCTATTCTACCTCCACGTAGGTAATGAATTATTCAACCATTTAGTCAACAACGGGGTTTTACTTGTTTTACAGTAAAATACTTATCTCTAATGTTCAAGTTTTAGAATTTGAACTTGGATTAGGCCATTTTCGTCAATTTTGTTCTTAGAGCTTTTGTAAAAACACTTGGGAAGTACTCTCACAAATTTATTTCTTATTTTGCCTAGCGAAGAAATTTTGTATTAGAAAATATTCTGGTTTTTACCTTAGTGGTCAAGAAAAGCGCTTACAGTGGATACTTTTCCTAACTCGATAAACATTTATTATATAGATGTTGGCCTCCCTTTATTACCAGCCTACAATTTCAACTCTTTTGCTGTTAACTTTAACTTCATCTGTGACTTTAACTATGATTGAGACTTCAACTTTATCTTCACATTCTTTGTGCATGATTATTGTGCATAGACCAATTAAATTGGACCGGCACGCTTGTGGTGCATGTTGTGTGTTACTACGGTAGGCCTTTACATAAGTAGCCATAATCTCTGCAGATGGTGAGAAGCCCAGCTCAAACCAACTACCATAATATTGTCATTGGATCTATAGGTCTCAAGTAAGATCACTTCATATTTTACATTTGTTAGAAGTGCACCTGCACACCGCTGGTTGTGGCTTCGCTGATTTACTGAATGTCTTGCATGAAGATATACACCTTTCAGTCTGAATCTACAAAAGTACCAAGATCAAGTTAGATTAATCCACATTTTGATTTCCTGAATAGTGCATCTACCTACACAGAGATTGCTTATTAGCCATTTTCCGCGAGCCTTGCATTAAGTTTCGTATATGATTATCGAGCTTTTAGTGTATGAACATTTGTTCTTAATTTCGAGAAAGCTGTTAATTAAAGTAAATTTAGATTACTTGACCTTGTACTTTCCGATTTAAAGACAGAAAGCATTGGGTTCATAGAAAAACGAAAAACTAAAGATTGGGCTATTTATGTGCCCTAGTGCAAACGTGTGACGACTGATCCAATAAATCGAACTCTGTTTACTTTTGTCGCTTATGTGAACCAAAAATGTACTATTAATTTTTTCTGTGAATGATTTCAACGCTTTAGGGTTAATTTTACCATTGTGTTAAAGTTTAAACTATTAATTGAAGATTAAAATTAAATTTTATGTAAAAATGTCATTTTAAACTTCGTTAAACCCAATGGTGGAATCGGCCCCAAGTTAGTTATATCACGGTCATTGATTAGTTGCAATTTTGCAAATAATATATTCTCCAGCGCTTAATAGCCACTTGAGTGATAATTAAATCAGTTATATTTTATTTCTTTCATTTACTTTATTCAGCACCTCTCGGCTGAAAACCGGGCATATTTAAGCTATTAAATCTCCTTCTTTTATAACCTCGGCCTTCCACCACCTTTTAAGTCAATGTCAATAAAAAGGAAAATAATATTTTTATAATTCAAATAATGATACTTAACCAGCAAAAGTACAATAAAAACTTGTAAATCCGGTTCTGCTCTTCCGCCATTTTAGTGAGTGCAAAAGCCACGCCTACCGGTCCCACTTTTGTATATCAAAAATAATACATATGACGTATCCTTACGTTGCCTTATCAATGGATCGATCAGGTAGCGTAAGTGATCGCTACTTTTGTAGCGCTGCTTGAAATGGCGCGGATGAACGCAGCCATTCTATCTCTCTCCACGCCGAACTTGGTCTATCTCTAGTCTTCATAGTCAAACCACACCATTTCTTTAAATCATTCAAAATACATACACTCTCAGACTGCACGCGACAAGACATTTTTCAACTAGCGAACTATTTGAACTCCCAAACAATAAAGAACAAAATTAGTCTCCGCGCAAACGGTCGCAATTTTAACATTAAAACAATTTATATAAAAAGATCTTTTATGCATGTTATAAATTTAGTTTTATTTAAAAGTGTCGCTTAATTTGTTGTGGTTATTGAATACAAAAGTTTATGAAGTTAAACTAAACCAGTTATCACAAGCAATTACTTTGATTTCTGCATTCCACAACAATCAATCTATCCTCTATCAGCAATATTTTCTATAAGTTTCTTCATTTATATACAGTCCACAACTCCACCCTCTAAGGTTCTCAATTTGAAAAATATCTTATCCTGTCGAGTCTAAAAGTCTGTGATTGGTTTAACGAAATGGTGTGGTTTATACCAAGTTCGCCGAGGATAGAGAAATGTGTTATAAATTGTTGAGTGAGCGCTTGCATTTATTTAACAATTTATTTTAAACGGTATTATGCGGGCGAGAGTGAAATAGATCTGTGAGTGGGGGCCAGCGGAGCTTATGTTTATTTAGGCAGGATATTTTCCACAAAGTGAGAAAGCTATATCTCGCATAGATGTTCAACTTGCTTCGCGCGCAGCTTGTTGTCAAGCTGAAGTCTTTGGAATATTTGGAAATACGTTAAACGCAATGAAGTGGGGAGGAGTAGAATGATAACTGTCAATGGAAAAGTATAGATACAATTTCGTTTTGCACATTTTGTAAACAATTCAGGGACGGTTTAACAACTTTTTGTGTAACAATTATAAAATAGTGCATCGGAAAATAATTAACAAGAATAATTTAATACTAAATCGAAATCAAAGCACAACAATCACTAATATAAGCAAGATAACAAATAATTTACGCCAAAAGAGCTAACAACAGCCACAAAACAAACAAAAAACAGAGCTGAACATGAACATTGTAATGAAGTAAATTTTCGTTAATATTTTTTTTAACTAATTCCAAGTATAACTTTCGATTTTTACTTAATTTTAACTTCGTGGATATACCCTGTATCAGCTTGTCGCAATCGAGAACAAATCGTCCAAATACTCTACGTGCACGAGTTGCGATGGTGGGGTTTCTGTTATTGGAAGTGCTATCGACGGCGGAACGAGGTGGCATTCAATTAAGAAGTCAGTTCAAACATAGATATACTGGGCTAATACACCGATTTATCGAACAGCCGAAAATAAAAAATTATTTAGACACCGAAATTGACGATTCCGATATTGTTCGCGAGAGATACAATTTTAAACCGATATAAATTTATAGCCGCGATCTTGACGATAGGTAAATTGTTGTCATTGTTTTTATAAATTGATATATTTTTCCTCGACTTTAAACCGTGCTATTGGAAATCGTTTTATTTCGATTTATTTTTAATTAATATTATTCCGTGTTGAGTTGGGAATTGAAACTTGTCTTGATTAAGAAACACTTTAATATATTTTTGTTAGAAAGCACCGTTTTTTTTGTGGAATTTCAATTTAGTTTATTTCAAGCTTTAACCAATACATAATTGGTCGGAACTGTTTGGGAATTGTCTAATATTTTGATTGGTTACCTTAATAGAATTGCGACGAGACATTTTCTTTTATACTTCCTACTACCGTAAATATTAACTTCCGTAGAAAAATAGTAAATTACATTTTTAGTTTGTTTAACGAGTAAACCGTTAAATAGTTAATTTTTCATGCGTCCGTAAAAATAGTCTGATATTAAATTTTTCCTAAGACCGAATTAATATTTCTCCTGAACGAAATAGCAAGTTGCATTTTTAGCTCAACAACCGAATAGACAGTTCAATAATAAACTTTTGCTGAGACCGTGATTACAACAATTATTGATTTCATATTTTACGTCTGATTGAGGCTATTAGGAAGTCATTTCCGGCCGTTTTGTTTGTTTATTTTTGTTCAGGGTTTGTACATATTACCGCGAGGGTGGGCGTTGAAATAACCTTAATTTATTCCTTTTTTATTTTGTAATATGTGTCAACGTTACCTTGCCGTATTACTGGTTACTAATTCCTTACTTTATTTCCCCCTTGTATTTCAGCTAGTAATAAATTTTGTACACCAGCTCAAGCAACGATTAAAGCCCGTTACTTGTGGCCTACCATTACCTGTGTCTAAGTGAGCTTTAACCCCTGGAATCTTTCATCTCCATCTGTAGCTACTCGAGTACTTTCGACGCCTCTTCGAGAGTTTGTGTGTAAGAGAGAAAGGTTGAATCATGCATAATTTCTCTCGTGATGGATGCGCAGACGGTACCTCATCATTCTACCCTCTCTACTTCTTTGATTAAACGGCATTTACCAGGGTTGACTTTGATTTTAGTTTATTATTTATGTAATTGAAACAGGATTTTTATTTTATGTAATATGATTAAATTATGTAATGCTAACTACAGATAACTGTGTTTAAGTTAGAGAGCGACACTCCTGAGATGATCCTCAGGAGGAATCCTAGAAAAATAGACTGTGACAATACAACACTACTCTAAAACAAAATATATCACGTATCCTGACTAAAAAGGGGCCTAGACACCCACTCAAATTTCAACCCGATTTTTTTTTAGAAAATAACTGAATTTTCCTGTGCAGAGGTAGGTGCAGTTAGATTAAATGAAACTTTCTAATTCTGAACGGAAATAAAACAAAGATAAAAATGTCTACAAATGTATTACTATTATTCATTCAGTACAATTAAAAAATTTATAAAACTATTGCCATAAATTACTTAAAAATGTAAAGTACCAATATTATAATATATTTCTATTAGTCTGCATAGCAGAATGCAATCTTATATACAACTCTGTGATTTTACTATTTAGTATTATTTGATGATGTAGTATCAGGGATTAAGGGATATTGTACAGTTTTATATTCTGGCGTATCAAATTGACATATTATAGATATCATTTTCAATGTCAAAATGACAACTCCTTTTCGGACAGTATTTTAATGGCTATTTACTGTATTTTAATGAAAAAATACATGAATAAAGTTTGAATCAATATTTGAAAAATACCAACAAAAATACTCTTTTGACAATGAATGATGTAAATCTATATACAAACTTTAAACGTTGATTTGGTCTTTACGTGATGAAAATCAGTGTTAATTAATAACAAAAATACTTTATTTTCTATTTGCTTATTATTGGTTTATTTTATTATATCTTCGATATGGTTACCATAAACACACTCATAATGCCTAAGGCACAGGGGTTCTACTTATGATAATATTGTTTATAACTTTTTAATTAATTTACGCCAGAATATAATTTGGATCATAATCAATCATTATGGCACAGACCATGGTATATAAAGCCCGGCTATCCAAGATTCAGTTGATAAAAAAAATTGGTTTTACATATAAGCTGTTTGAGCATTTATTGTAATAGAACTAACTAACGTCCATAAATTGCGTAAATATTTTAGAAATTAAAAATAAATTACAAATTAACAATGAAATAATAAGATATAATTTTCATGATGTCCATTATAATAATAATAATAATAATAATAATCAATATATTTAAATCAATTTAAAGTATTAGTGGAAAGGAAAAAACTATAATAAAATAATTAATTTCATTAAAATGTTTTTATATAAATCATGTCATTGAAACAATGTTTTGTTTATATGACTGCTCATTTTTCAAGTTCACTGGTATCGAAATAGATAAAATATTCCAATTCTGCACAACGAAAAAGTAAAAAAATTATAATTTTATAAAAGTTGCATGGCATTTTTGAAAGTTAGTTAGAAAACGGAGTACAATAAATCTATTGTTTCTTGGACTCCTCAGACTCATCAGAGTATGATAATAATTTCCTCCTTAGTTCTTGAAAAGCTTTGTTTACGCCGGGAGGAGCTGGTATACCTCCGTGCACGTTAAGCGGTTTATGCAGTAATCTCTTAGGAGGTTCAAAAACTTTCTTGTCTGGTGTAGAAAGACCATGATCCTAAAATAATTTAAATTTTGTTTAAAACCGCTTTTATGACGAGCAGTAATAAATAAATAACAAGCAGCATGAATAAAAATTGTTCTATTACCTTAACTTTGTGTTTGAACATGGTCGTCAAACTACGAAATTTCTTTGGGCAAGAATCGCACCGGACTTCAACATCCACAGTTCTAATCATACTACTCGTATTTAGCCCCTGGTTGATGCTGCTTGACATTTTGCTCGTATTCAATACAGAATTATTGTTACTTGTACTCGGTACATCTAGGGTGTCCATAGGTTTATTGATATTTGTACTCGATTTACTCCCAGCGTTAGTCGGGATTATATTACTTTGTCTCGATACGGATTTTTTTAAAGTTCGTGGAGAGTGGACATAGGACCTGAAAAAATTGAAAATTATTCTGAGATATCGTCGTATTGATGGTAAAAACAGCTAATCCTCATTTTTTAGGTAAAATGAGTTAACTATATCACATAAATAAAAAATACAGTGTTGAAAAGACAAGCGAATTGGTAATTATAACCTTAAAATCCTACAAACTGTGACAGAAGCTAAGTTAAAATACATATTATATTTTTTTCAGTGGTAAAACATGTTCCAACGACATACTTTTTTCTTTTTTTAAATAAAACATTCGTATCATATATCATATTATTAAATAGTTGCCATATAACAACAGTAGTTACAGAATAGACCCCTTAAACTATTTTTTTACGACCTACAAACAATATTAAAAAAAACGTATGTCAATTTCAGTGATAGAATGTTTTTTTTTTTAAGTACATTGTCAGACTAATATATTGTACTGTAAAAAAAAGATTTCAAAGGATAAAAAAAATACAAAATATAACATACTATTTCTGGAAAACTATAAAAAACTATTCATACCTTCTAATTTTAAATGACAACCTCTTGTCCTTAGGAGTAGGAGCTACTTTCTTCACACATCTTATCCTCACGTGAGAGTCCAATAACAGTTTGGAAGGGAATGTCATATTACAATTGTTACAATCAAATTTCTTATGAGTTTTCTCATGAATTAACAGTAAATTTTGAGTCGAGCAAACTTTCGAGCATTCCTTGCATTTGAAGGACGGTTTCGGATTAACGGGCGCCTTGAATGCACTGGTCGATGGTCTAGGTAAAAATTTCTTCGGAGATATGGTGACAGTATTGGTCGCTTTTACTAAGTTTTCTTTAACGTGGGTTTTCTTGTGGATATTAAATAAGACTACATCTTTGAAAGATTTAGAACAAACATTGCACAAGTGTTTCGATTGTTGAAATTTACAAATATGTCGTTTTAATAAAATGCTATTCTTAAAAGATTCATTACAGTTATCACACTTGTATTTGTACTCTGTGGGAGGAATTTTCTTACAACTATGTAAACTATTTTCTAGATTGTGATGTTGTATGTGTGTAGAAAGGCTGTTCTGACTGGGAAACGTCTTTGGGCAATGCGGACAGGTGATTTCTTTCTTCCCGTTATCGCTTTCAACTTCACTGGATTCTTCTGTGCGGCTCTTTTTTTGTGGAGAACCTTCGTCTCCACTTTTCGTCGGTCTACCTCTTATCCTTTTTAATTTATCTTCAACGTATTTTTTGGTCCTGCCGCGAATATATTTCACACTTTCAACATTTTCAAGTTCGTCATCTGATTGTATAATTTCTATGATGCTACCACCATCAGAGTTATCTGAAGTGTCATTGTTGGTTATTTTAGTCTTTTTGAGTTTCTTTTTCTTTTTGGTCCCGTTTTTGGGGCCGTAGTCTTCGTCGGAATCGCTTAGTTCTACTATACTAGTAACCTGCAGACGAATTTAAATTATTACATTAAATTTTATTATTTTTTATACAAAAAACTAACCTCTAATTTGTCTAAACTCTTCAACCTTTCACTGACGCTTTCTATGAAACCTTTAGACGACACCATCACTTCCTTTACGATGATTTCCTCGTTCCTTCTGGCATCCACTGGTTTTATTTCTTGTTTTCTTGGTAGTCGGGTTTGTCGGATTGGAGCTTGAGGAATGGTCGTTCTATTTATGAAATTGTGAAACATCTTGGCCTGTATGGCTTCTTTGCTGCGAGCGTAACGTCTCTCAAGCAATTTTTCTCTTTGAATTCTTTTCAGATTCTCGTCGTTGGCCAATTTTTCCAAATTGTTTTTCAATAAACTGCGAGGATTTGAGAGAGAATTTAGATTTTCTTTTTGATCTGTATTGGACACCGTGTAATAGAGGATCTTCTTTTTAGTACTGGTGGTTTTATTCACGTTCGTAGGTTGTTTAAGGATATTCGTAGTTTTTTGTAACGATTTTTCTTTTGTATGCATTTCTGCAAATTGATCGGGTTCTGTGTATAAAACTTCAGGTTCCTGGTAATAGTTTGAAGTATCTTCATTAATTTCGCCGTCAGCTAAGAATTGTTTTACAAAATAAGATAATCAATTAAAAAAAAAACACTAATGCAATAATTCATTAGAACATTAACGTTTTATCACATTCCCTTACCTGTAACAGGAAGCCCTTCAACAATTTCATAATCTCCAATTTCTGGCGTTATTGATCCTTTTTCAACAATAAGTACATTATTAGTAGCTCTGTCACTTTTATCTTGTTGAATTTCTTGATCATCAGGATATTTTTCTTCAATAAAAACTTCATTGTACTGATCTTTCTCAATCTGGATTGGATGAGAATCTAGAGTTTCTGTATCATCATAATCCTCCATATCTTGTGCATCAAAATGCTGGTAAGTTATTATTGTTTCTTCATTTTCATTATGAATTTCTTCAGTGTTGTATGAATCAGCTTTTGGACGAGGACAAGTTTAATGAAGAGGATTTAAAAAAATATATATATTTTAATAATATGCAGGGAGTTTTTGAAACGCATGTTCATATTAAAATACAGTTTATGATGTCCAAAAATGTAGGTCAATAATTTTGGTGTAAAATTCCTAAATTTAATTAGGCATATTTCATTTTTTAAGTAGTTTTAATACATATGCAGATATATTTCAAAAACACCCCATATTGTGTTATATAAGACTGTAATGAATGATATAATTATTGAATTTCTAATTATTAAGTGTAAAAAAGTCTAATATCATGCATTATACAAAGTTGTCAGTATCAATATACTTAATTCTAAATTTTATTTTAACTTATTACTAATTTACTTCCTCCATTAATTATTAGAATTTAACTAGCTTTATAAAAATTTAATTTAGCAAAAGCAAATGATAATAATTAGATTACCTTCAGATATACAATCTTCATTTAGATTTTCTAAAACTGTGCTTTCATGAGATTCCAATTCACATTCATTTTCTTGGTATTTTTCATTTTTATCTAACAATAATTCTTCTTTTATATTTATGTGTTCTAGTTCTAAAACAAAATTATTATTTAATATTTTTTTGGCTGCAATTAATTTTTGTTTTACCTCTTTTTGTATTAATAACGGTTTCTTCATCTTCCTCCTCCTCCTCCAACATTTGTTCATCCAAGTTCGCATCTTGTGTTTTATTTGCAATTCCTTCTCGTTTTATAAAAACCATCATAGAATTGTTATCAACAGCTTCCGAAGACACATTTTCTTCTTCATAAATATTTTCTAGGACATTTTCCTCGACATTTTCTTCACTTTCGTGTAAAAGTAAATGAGTGTCACTTTCTACATGTTCTATATTTTCTTCTAAATAAATCGGAGTTTCAAAAATCTCTTCAATTATTTGGTTTTCTGTGTTATCTGTAAGTTCCTTGGTAGATTCCACATCATCTTCCTGTTCTTCTTCATTAGGCAACAATTGAACAGTTTCTGGCATTGCCTCAAGTTGACCATCATCAGTTTTCCTGGAGGTTATAATAATCTGTTATAGGTACTTTATATAAAAATAAATACAAAGTATAATTACTTCTATGATTGACATTAGCAACCCTAAATTAATATGGTCACTAAAGTTCAGAAGCTTATTGAAAATAAGTCGCCAAATTAGATACAAATTTCAATACACCAAATTAAAAGTATAAGAAAAATAACATTTTATAGAAGAACAAAACCGGTCCAAGAAATTTTTTACCAAAAAGCATTTTTTTATTTATTTGTTCTGCAACTTTTTTTACCAAAGAGTATTTTTATTTTACGATTTTTTTACCAAATTAGATAGGTACTTCTATTTTAGTGTTGTTTATTTAACGTTTATTCTGTTATTTTCAAGTTTAAAAAATGTATTTTGTTTTTGAATCAGGAACAGATTTCAAATGAAACGAACGTGGGAAAAATTGTGGGAATTATACAATTTTGTGTGGGAAAAATGGGATTTTTTTTGCGCGTGTGTGGGAATTTCTGTTAAATTGGTTGGCTACAATGTGTTGCACATAAGTCCAAATGTATTGTGCTGAGTGGGCGGAGATCACAGTGTCAGGCTGTCAGATTTCTAAGAATTTATTACCTTATGGCCACCCTTGGTTTATAGTATATTAAGTTTTAACTGTCATGCCGTAAGTTAGAATAATTTTTGTCACTAACTGAAAGAGCAGCTTCATGTCACTTATCTGTTCTTAACAACAATAATATTAATAAAATAAAGAAAGAGCACCAGTAATTGACAGTGAACCAGTAATCGACACTTTAAAATTCAAACTCTTCTAATAAGGGTCTAATGTATCTGGCAATACGGTAAAAATCCTCAAAGGTAATAGTTTTAGATAGATAAATAGATAGTTTATTTATCCTGAAAGATCATTTGCATGATATAGGAAATGTCACAATATATGCCGCGTTTGAGAATCCACATCAGATGCATCTGAGATGTTGTGAATTTTTTATCATGTGATAGAGAATTAGATCTGAATGTAGATGTAATAAACAAACGCTCTAGACTTTATTGGTTACGTGATAAAATGTCAATGACAAGTTAAAAGTTTATACTTTTTAAATTTGACTTTTGAGATTACAAATCAACCTAACTTTGAAATCTAAACAAAAATTAAAAAAACTAATCACTTTTATATTCATGCTAGCATAAACAAGCGATAAATTTACAAACTTTGCTTCACAGAACACTTACTTTCTGGCATGGAACGAACATCCCATTCACATCTCATTTCAAATCGAGATGTAAAAGATATAATCTGAACAGGTACATCTGGGATAAACAAACGCAGATGTAGATGTGTCCGATGTGGATAAAAAAACGCTCGAGATGTAAAAAATGCATCGGATGTGGATTTTCAAACGCGGCAATAAAATAACAATAAATACAAGATACAAATTAAACGTAAAACCCATAAAAATATAAAATAGGTAAATAAAGTTAGCAAAGAATACTTATGTTAAATTGAAATAAAAAGTATGAACAAAAAAAAAGTGTAGTGGGACACTGAAAACATTAATTACACAATTTATAAAATAAGGAAATGATTTAATAAGAAAAATGGCAATGAAATGCTCATAATGTGAGATTATTCATCAGCCTATACAATAACAAAAATATCCATGCTCTACATGTGATGGATACAGACGATTATACTGCAACCAATGTTCTGAATTATCAACCACAGAAATTAGGTGTATACAACTACGCACTAGAATTTTGAAATTTCATTGTGCAAAATGTAGGAATTATGAACTGACTGATTTTCTAAAGAAGGCTAATGTAGATAAAGATGAAATAATAAATAGTAAAAATGAAATAATAAAAATGCTTCAAGAGAAAATTAAAGAATTTGAAGAAAAAGAGATAAATATTGTACCTACCATTTCTTATGCTGATATGGTGAAGTTACAAAAAGAAGACAATGAACGAAAACCTAACCCTCCAAAAATTATTATTAAACCGAAAATACCACAGAGTGGAAACAAAACAAAAACAGATTTAGGAACAAATATTAACCTAACAGACTTAAAAATTGGAGTGAAACAATTAAAGATGGGAAAAAATGGTTCCGTTATACTTTCCTGTCAAACAAAAAAATAAGTTGAAATTCTGGAAAAAGCTGTTCAAGATAAATTAAAAGAATCATATGATGTAGATCTGTCAAAAATGAGAAGACCCAGAATGAAAATCTGCAATTTTACGGAAAATATGACCAAGGAAGAAATTGACAAGTCCATTGTGAAAAAGAATGACATAACAAGGTGAAATAAAAACCACATATATCAGAAAAATGAATACTGGTAACAAGGGTATAGCTATATTTCTAGATCTAGCAAAAGCATTTGACACGGTGCCACATCAGAAGCTCTTAAATGTTCTTGAACAGAATGGAGGGATGAGCATCGTGTTGAAGGTTTTTGAAAATTATTTGACACACAGACAACAGAAGGTAAAGGTCAGAGACAATGTGAGTAACCCTGAAAATATACAAATTGGAGTGCCTCAAGGGACTGTTCTGGGACCCATACTATTTAATTTATACATTAAGAGCTTAACTCAGATTGATATTCAAGGTATCATATGCTGATGATACAGTGCTAGTCTTTAGTGATAAAGATTGGGAAGTCGTCAAGACACGTGCTATAGCTGGAATGGAACATGTCAAAAACTGGCTGGATGTTTTTAAATTGTGTTTAAATGTTAACAAAACAAACTACATTGCTTTTTCAAAGACAGTGGCTGATCGACCCATAGAAATAGTATAGAAAGCCGATTCCATATATCAAAAATGAAACCATAAGGAGAAAATAGTGTGTCGGAGCTCATGCGTATAACGGTGCTAGCGCGAACAGGACCGGTGCAAGTTTTTTATTGATCGAACAAATAGTTCGCACGATATTTCAATCATACATTTTTAGAGATGATTATATACAAAAAACGATTAAAAAAATTTCAAGTTAAGGTAAATATGGTTCTGACAGTCCTTATTAAGAAAGATATGGCATAAAATATGAATTAGTTAATTTTCGGCAATCATTAGTACAGTAGTCATGAGATTTTGCTTGTGATTTTAAAAATACTTTTCAGAAAAACCACGTGCTCCGGTTTTGACTACGTTTATTATTAAACAGCGAAATTATATACAAAAACTTTAATCCACAATCTAAATTAGGTACTATCACAAGAAAATCACTGTTACAATAAATAATTACTTAACCAAAAACTAAAATACTTTTTAGGTACCTACGTAACCAGAAAGGAGCTGGACCATTTATCCTAATATTGATTTTCTCTCTCCCTACGGTAAAACTTAAAACAATAACAAATTGCCTATCTATTAGGGTCGGTAACTAAACGTATATACATAATGGGCGGATTTTGTTTATACTTAACATTACACTCGCGCATTTAAATATAACTATGCATATAAATATTTACAAACAGAGATACTTTTCCAAACAGGCAATCATTAGTACTGTAGTCACGAGATTTTGCTTGTGATTTGACATCTTATTTGATAATATCATTTGCTACAACTAAATTTAATCTGGGGAGTGCAAAATAGGGCCCAGGAATATTATGTTCGATATTTTTTTACATTTTGTCAGCCGAGACTATGAGTCGTTAGACAGAAAACCTTTCATGTTACCATTTTCAATATAAATTAAAAAATACTACTACATTTACTTGGTACATATTTTATTTTAATTTTGAACCTTTTTAAAAGGGTCTTTCGGTTCCATAATAAAAATTAGTTGCTGCTTACTAGAAACATTCTATATAGCCTAAACCAATTTATAGTTTGTTTTCGATCAATTTAATACAAAGATTTAAAGTTTTTAGTCGATAACATTCCACACCAGCACATTGCAAACCTATTTTATAAATAATAGGAATAAACTTGTAAATCATTAATTTGGTAGTTATCTCACTCATATGATTTTTTTGTTTATATGACTATTTCGATTTCTAAATATATTTTGGCCTTACAATACGAAGCGTTTTGTATCTACCACTTTTTTAATGAACGATGAATGTTGGCAGGCGTGTACCTTTTTCGGAACAAGAGGCGTTTTAACGAAGGAAATGATTTTCGAACTATCTAGTTAGTTTTCGGAAAAATAGAAAACGTTTGAAGAAAGTTGTCAATAACAGTTTGTCGTTCATGTGTTTCATTTTGATCAGCTTTCATACTAAATTGCGTAGAATATTTTTCCGATTCAAAATCGAGATTCTCGATATTTCCACAGTTTATTTATAATACCTTCTAAACTGGATTTATCTATCATTTTATATACTTTATAATATATGTTCATGCCCTACTTTTCACTTTATTAACAATTTTTTTTTAACATACTTCAAAATGGTATGATATTCTCAATTGGTTGAAATATTTTTTTATGTATGTTGAGCGATAATTCTTTACCACGTTGCCCGATTTCTAGGATTATTTTTGTTAGAAAAGGAAACAGTTTTATATACATTAAGTCAAGATCTGAAGATGGGATCCATAAGAAAATCATTAACATCTTTATTTTTAAAGTAGGTTTTTTTTTAAATTTCTTTAAACCTTACTGGTTCGAACGCGGTAAGGAATGAAGAAATGTAAATAATTGTTGTGCCAGCCAAAAAGCGAAGAGGAAGTACCGATTAAAATATCGAGTGACAGAAGAGTTCCTAAGATTGTTGAGATCGGGTTTATGTTTTAAAATGCATTAAAACCGATATCGATAATGTCTCCCCGTCGCTGGGCAGCCTGTATATAAATATACAGCTCTCTATTTACATAATTATAATTCTTAGGTAGGTTTAGATTTGCAGACATAAATCTTGTAATAAATATAACAGCTGCCTAATACATTGATTACATTTTCATTAGCCAATGTAAAAATGTCTTTTATTGTACCTAGGATTTGACTAAACACTACACAAAACTAAAAATAAAATGCCACTTTCATCGTGTAATTAATGCCGCGTTTGAGAATCCACATCGGATGCATTTTTTACATCTCCAGCGTTTTTTATCCACATCGGACACATCTGTCCCATTACATTTACGTATACTGAATCACGTGATCAAAGATTTACTACTTACTACATCTCAGATGCATTTGATGTGGATTCTCAAACGCGGCATAAACAATAAACTACAAACGGTCCTGTAAGGGCAGCGTCATATAGCCTTGAAACACCGGATTTTAGTGCTATTGCCAGGTCAATATTGAATTTGTAGGTGAATCGCTTATTGAACATTAAAAATACGGTATTAATGACATTAATACGGTATTTGTATATATTTTTGGGAATGTAATTACACATAAATATTATTAGTTGATTATTTAAATGTATATAAGTTATTTTGTGGCGATATTTCGTAGATATAAACTGTTTAAATCATATAATTTAAAAATTAATTAATTTAAAATTCTTTTCTGTTAGGTATGTTTAATATATTTGGCAACACTACAGGGACAAGTCATGCATATTGCGCAAGCTTCTAGACACACTATTTTGCGATGTCAGGCGCAGAGACGCGTTTTTATGCACAGTAGGTTTCAATTTCTGCTTAAATGTTATGTTTATATTGGTCTTCTATATTATTTCTATGGATCGACCTCAATTTAGAAGCTTAACATGTCAAAATTTAGACATACAGGAAACAGAAACATCCAAATATTTAGGTATAATTATAGACCAGCTCTTAAAATGGGACTGCCATATAATATATATAGCAAAAAAACTTAGATTTCTGATTTATAAATTTTATCTTCTAAAACAATTTCTCAACCAGGATCTACTAATAACATTATACCACAGTCTAGTAGAATCTATACTACAGTATGGAATCTTAGTATGGGGAGGCCTGTATGGAACTACATTAAATCAGTTAAAACAAAACAAAATCTTGAAGTTAATATATAAAAGAGATAGATTGTGTCCCACCATAACTTTATATAATGAAAAAATTAGCAATGTTAGATGTTTATATATTCACGCAGTGTTGTTATATACAAAAAAATAATTTTTATAAAACCCTTTAGAACATAGACATAACACTTAGAACTGCATCGAACATGTGCATTAAAGTACTAAAACCAAATAGTGAGTTTTTTAAAAACAGTGTAAATTATCTAGGGACAAAGTTCTATAACGCTCTACCTCTTCATATAAAATTATTAAACAAATATAAAAAATTCTGTAAAGTTAGCAAAATATACATTTTCCAAAATAATGCAAAGGGTATCAGAATATTCCAAGAATAACAGACTTAATACATGGATTTTTTATAAATAGTTTTTTTTCTGTTTTTTTGCATAAATTGTTTTATTTATTAAAAAAAAAAAAAAAAAATGTTTTTTTTATTTCTTTTAAAATTCATTAAATATAATTATAATAAAAATTTTAATTTTTGTCAGCACATACATGTGTTCTCACCTAGGTGCTTATTATTATTATTATAATTGGTTTCCATTCTTGTACTTTATTGTAACTTATTTATTATTGTAACTCATTGTAACTTATAACTATTAAAAAATCTGTCAAATATAATAACAATAAATACAAAAAACAAATTAAAAGTAAAACCCATAAAAATATAAAATAGGTAAATACAGTTGGCTAAGAAAACTTATGTTAAATTGAAATAAAAAGTATGAACATAAATAAAGTGTAGTGGCACATTGAAAACATTAATTACATGAAACACTATTCAACACTATATGGACATTTTTCTATTAGGTATTGTTTCAGTTTGATTTTAAATAAGCTATAAGTCACTATGTTTTTAATTAACAGAGGAAGATGATTGAATAGGCATACACTGATTTATTGTAGATTTCTTTCATATAAAGCTGAGGCATGTTTTAGAATACATAATTGGTTTCCACTTCTAGTAGGATAATAGTGGGTGTCTAAGTTATGGAGAAATTGTAAAATATTTTGTTTCATGTACAAAAGAGTTTAAAATATAAAAATTGAAGGAAAAGTGAGTAATTTATATTTTTTAAAGTGATCTTTACAAGTAGTTCTGGCATCTAAATTAAAAATAAGCCTGTTAAGTTAAGCAGCAAAAAAGGTGCATGTTGTGTCAGGCAAGTTTATTTCATATTTTCTAAAGAAATTTGTTAAGGTAAGTACATTATAAAATAGGTTGTTGCTTTTTAAATAGTTATGTGAATAAAATTGTACGTTCTAAAACACATGTTTTTGGTAAAATTTCAGTGATTACTTGGATTATAACCTAAATTTTAGGTATATTGATAACTGGGTACTCATACACATATTATTTTCCAGTGTTTGACACTTTTGTCGATTACTGCAGTATTATGGAGCTCCAGTTTTCTTAATACTGTCTTATAGGTCAATAAATGGGGCGACAATAACTAGTGAAACTGTTGATAACTGGGGTGACAATAACTGGCGAAAGGGTGTCGATTACTGGTGTATCCAATATTACATTATATCACCATGAGATGTTCTACTAGTGTCGATTAGTGGTGCTCTTACTTTATATGAGTCTCATATTAACACAAAATTCCCTTGTCTGTCTGTTTTGTCCATGACTCAATTCAATATTTATCTGTATTCAATAATTTCCAGGAAAAAGAAAATATAAGCCTTGGTATCAAAATTGCCAATGTACATTTTAAATGTTTAAAGAAATGAAGGTCCAAAGTTTAGGACTCACTTATGTTGTATGGATTTGATACATTTGATAGAATTATCACCTCAATATTGAGACTTCTCTTAAAGGTTTTTCTATCTAGAAAATGACAACATACAAATAACATTGGCAGTTTTAGTACCCAGCCACAGATGTAAATGCTACCTAAATTGAAACTGATATTTATGAATGTTTCCTTCATCATCCTCGGCAAGCTGAATTCCATAAATTTCATCACATCCTTCAACATTAAAAATAACAACTTGTTGTTCTGCATTACCGGTCAATGTAAAATTATTTTCATGTTCAGTTTCATCATCCAACTCAACACTATCCTGAATTATTAGTTTTTGATTACTCAAAGTTAAATTATGCATTTCATCTGAAGTATTATCATGTGGAACAGGTGATTCCAACACTGATAAATATTGACTTTCATTTTCATCCACTGCTGTTGCATATGTATCGTTTAAACTATCATCAGTATTCGAAAAATTTAAAGGACTTCTGGTTTGATTAACTATTTGGTTTGTCCATACAACACCATCTTCACCAACCATGGATTTATTTTTATTAAAAGGAAAAATGTTTGCCATTTCTTCTCGTAATTAACCTTTATATTCTCATTATTTTAAAACGAACATAAAGTTCGAATAGTTTTTAAACCTGCAAAATTATGTAAGTTTTTATTATTGTTAAAGATCAATTGTTCAAAACACAAGTTTTAGTCCATAGTATGTATGCATTTTAAAGTTTCAAACATATTTCTCACCTACAAAAATTAAATCCTTAGAAAGAATAGAATGATTTTAAGTATATCATTTAAAAACACAATTTAAAGTAATTATTTTTGGAGTAAAAAGCTTTGATAAAAGTACGTTTTTTATAAAAATTGAAATAGTGACGGTTGACTTAAATTATTAATCTTTAAACGTCAAACGTCATATGTCCGGTCTGAGACTTCGATCATGTATTAGGATAGATAGGCGATAGGTCTTCCTCAGAAGTAGTGGATCATTACCCTGACGTAGAGAGAAAGAGAGGAATAATGGAACAAACAATACAACGATCAGTGGCGTACTATGTGGAAGGGATCCATTATACTGTTAATAATTATGTATAAAAAAATTAGATGTTCATGTAGACTAATCTGAATATTTTTAGTTGAACATATTCAAACATATATCCCTCAATATTTAAATGATAATTTGAAAATTTAAAGATAGATTACTTCGTTTTCAATCTGCACGTGAGTAGGCAACACAACATACATATAACACACGCTTCGCTAGCAGTGCCTGTCAAATAATTATTGTAGTAAAATTTGAATTTGGTTATATCGTGTGATCGTAAAAAGGCTGCGTCTAATCCTACCGGAAAGCTATTTGCCACTTACGATATATTCTGTGTTTTTTTTATTTACGCAATTTTAGATAATTTTAAATTTTGTACATTTTGAGTAAGATTGTACACAAACATTTTGTGTACTGTTACCCTTCAACCGTAATGATGGGCATTTAACTTTTATAATTAAAAGGCCGGCATACAAAGGTCACTACGGCCGGTAGAACATCCTAAAATTTCTAAAAGGGTAAACATTACTGCGAAATTCTCGAAGTCGTCCGATGTTGTTTGACGTTTACCCCCTCTCTACCTACCAAAAGCCTTTCCAACTGTTATAGAGAAAGTAAAAGTTGAAAAGTCTTTTGGTAGGTAGAGAGGGGGTAAACGTCAAACCACGTCGGGCGGCTCCGAGAATTTCACAGTAATGTTTACCTGCCAGTGTCGTTTCATAGAATAAGTAATTTTAAATTGTTAACGGCGGAACCGGACAATCGCATGTATTTATGGATTATAAATAATTATTAAACATTTATTATAATATTCAAATTATAATTTTACAAAATTTCAACAGCTATTCACAATTTATTAAACTATTTACTCGAAATTGTTATTAAAATCTATAAAATAATTTTGTACGCCAATGTATCGCGTCCACTTCGGTGAGATCGTGTGCCAACCTGTCAATTTATGTGTATAAAGTGGTAGAACTGGCAAAAGCATTTCCAACTTTTACTTCTGTTCTACTTTCACAAAGCACATAGAGGTTCCACGTGAATGACCAAGGTCAAAACCGACAACTGACATTTTTTATGCTATTTGCTCCAAACTCTAGATGGGGCTACTGGTGAAATTATGATTTCTTACTCCATTTTTAAGCCTTATGGGAGAAAAACTTAACCAAAGACTCCAAAGATGTGACGTGTATTTATTTATGTTCTTGGTTAGTTTCATTTTTCCGTCTGATTTTAGTGATTTTTTGTTGGCTTTGGCTTTTGGTTTCTGTTTATAGTTTCGTCTTAGTTATTTGCAAAATTATGATGTTTCGCTTTTTTATTTCCTACTGTGTTTTGCAATAATTTTGGTGCTCCGTTGAAAACTTCGAGAAAAACTTCATTGATTCACCATATATTCACCATGCATCTGCATCATAAAAAGACAAACGGGGACAACAACTAATTGATAATCAATTTATCACTGGACTAGATTCCGAAATCTGTATCACCATCTGTATTTGGAAGGAAAATACCTATTTATCATTGAATGAATAGTTAAAAGGATTCACCTTTTAATACAATACCTATATTACATTTGTCCTCAGTTATAAAATATATAACTTTAGTGTTAATAAAATGTAATATCCTAGTCTCTACTTCACATTTAAATTATTGATAGGTATTTTAAAGATTTGAGATTATATATCTATTTGCTCCAAGTAAGTATTCGTTAAATATGTTTTATTATTTGTATTTATTTTTATCTAATAATATTTATTTAGGTTATTAATAAACATATTTTAAGAATGTTCTATTTTATTATTTATTGATATATCTTATATTTATTTAATAAAAATATGCAGAACCAACTCTCCACATTAGACCCCTTATAACAAATTAATTCTTCAAATTTGGTATAATCGACCTAAATTATTTTGTAAAATAAAAGTTTCGAACTTACCAGTTCCATACTTTATTTTATAAAATAATTTATGTGGAAATCATTCAAAATTTAATTTAAAACTACTACCTACTCCTAAAAATTACAATTTGAATTTACCGCCATCTGTCAATTGTCATTTTAGTTCCAGCTCCAAACACAAGGTGGCGCTAATTTGGTTTAAAAGTTTAACATTGGCGTGGGGTCTCTAGAAGATACATGCTTTGTGGTTACTTTCGCTATATCCAAACTTTTATTTTTCTATTAAAACCATCAAACTAGTATTTGTTCATGCTACCTTCGTTTTTACATTATTGCAGCAAAATAGCTATAATTTATTGTTTGGGGGTAATAAATGTGAGCTTTGTGATATTAAATTCTTATATTTCAAAAAACTGAAATATTTGGTGCACACTTAGACAAGGAAAGAGAGTGGACGCGTAACAAGTATATCAAGCACTCGTAGTATTCTGTGCCGATTATCGATTGGTCGCCATTAATTTGGTGCTAAGCATTTCGGCGACACCAAATAAGCTGTTTACTCGTGTTTATTTGATAATTAGTTTGTTACAATGATTTGTGTTGCATATCAGTGTAAAAGTCATAGCGACGAGAAATAACCAGATATTACGTTTCACAGGTAAATAATAAACATCATTTATACTTTAGGTCTGTTCTGGTTTTTAGAAATAACGATCCACAACTGTTGGGCTCATGTGCAGAATATAAAAAGCGTTCTGTTTTTTCTCTGACTACTTTGTATCTAACAGTCCAGTGTTCTGGAAAGGGATTCTTATGTGCATACTCAACACGTAACGAATTGAATAGAGAGAGAAATTACATACGAATCGCATTCTGTGGAACGAAGATAGTCGTCTCAACACGTGCCGAACTGAAAGATGAGAATCCCAATGTTGGTTTCGTATCCGAAATAATTCGTGATTGTTGTAAACTGTAAACAGTCGAAATGAGTCGCGTATCGGGGACAACACTAATCATTTGTAGTGCGCATGTCGTACGCGTTTTATTTGTACATCGGTCTCCTTTTGACAGAGTAGGTGAGCTGTGAGCTGTCTTCAGGCGGTTGGTGTTTATGCCGGTCGGCGTAGCCAGGTATGGATTAAAATTTTCTACCACCCTACAAGAAGTCGTTGCTTCGTCTTCTTGTTGTCACGGCATTATTTTTTGTTCATGTATGTGAAATTTGCTTTGGTTTTTAAAATACTACTGCTAGTCACGGCGTAAATGAAAACAAACACGACGCATTCACACAAACACCTCCCACCACAGCAATTACAAATTATTAGTGTTGTCTCCGATACGCGAGTGTCAAAATGTGTATGGATCGACTCCACATACTTTGATTTTCTTTTACTATACGGCATGACTGTTTTGATCGCGCATGCGTTTTTGAAGTGTTATGAATATTGTATTCGCTTTTAAGACCATACATGATGTATATAATCCCAAATTGTTTATTTATGTGTAGACGAATGTCTCTTGTTTTTGTTTTATTTATAAATTGAGACAATTTTAGAACAATTAATTTTTTAATATTATTCTCTCGTTTCTTTTTATTCCATTGAAATGTGATGAGGATGATAATGATGAACAGGCAAATGTTATTTGAAGCTGAGCTTTCAAAAGGAACTGCATTATTATAATAAATAATAAACAAAACACCTTCATGTGTTCTGGTTTTCCAACAATTTCAAACAGTCGGTAATGTTTTGCCTTTACGCACACTGTCCGGCGCAGTTTCAAAACCGTTTTCATTTTGAGAACCAGAACAAACCTTTTATATATATTTTTTTATTTTTTATTTTGTTTGGCTATTTTACAACTTGGTATTTATATATTATACATGTCTCACTCCAGAGTAATAAATGTTACTCGCCAAGTTTGTTTATTTTATGTTTTTAATTAATTTTTAAGCAATTAATGATATTAAAATGGCCAAAAAAACAATTTTTTTTAGTGGCGTGTCGTACAATTATAAATATTAACTTTTATCAAATTCTATTTTCTGATGCGTTTGCTATTATTAATTTAGAGATTTTGAGTAATGTAAAAAATAATTTTGAAAAGCGAATCAGAATATGCATTGACAATAATGGACATTATTTTGAACATTTATTGTAAATTTTAAATTTACTGAAAAATTTTGGCTCATTCAATTATTGTTCTAGGCATCTCCAGACCATTTTTGAGCTCAACGCTTTGATGGCTGCTTGACTATCGGACATGATAATCTCTTGTCTATGATAGTTTCTCTCGATGTTAAACCGGATACACTCCTCGAGGGCGCGAATTTCCGCCTGGAAGATGCTTGGGTATTTCCCAAGCTTTCGGAGTGCTTGGTTCTCGGCCCATACACTCCTATTCCAGTTCCTTCTATGGTTTTGGACCCCTCTATATACCACTGAATAGCACGTTTTTCGATTGCAAGCGCGATGGATTCATGGCTCCATTCTTTCTTGCAGCACAGCTCTGTGGTTTTGAAGTTCTTCACAAAACTGCATTTCATCCTGGGGCATGTCCCAGGTATCTTTAGTCCTGAAACAAGTAGACTTTCATCTGATTACTCCGTTCCTGATCATTCTATATCGTCCTTTTTGCCACATTCTTTATCATCAAATGTAGAGGGGTGAGGTTTAAGATCACCTCCATTGAGGCCGTAAGACAGGTTCTCATTGCACCAGTAATGCAAACACAGGCTAGTCTTTGTACTTTTGAGCTAAATTAGTTCTGTTATTCCAGGCTATAGCCCCGTAAGTGATGATTGGTCTCACTATTGCAGTATAATACATCCATCGCAATATGTTTGGGTTACATCCCCATCGTTTACCTGCAATGTTGCTGCAAACCATTAGGGCTTTTGTGGCCTTATTTACTACTTCCTTCTCATGTGTGTTCCAGAGAAGTTTGTTGTCCAGGGTTGGGTCTAGATATTTGACTTCATTTTTCCATAGAAAAAGTCCTGTGGATTCAGATCAGATGACCTAGGTGGCCACTCAATATGGCCTCTTCTTCCGATCCAGCTTTGAGGAAAATTCTCATCAAAAATTGACGGACAGGTTGTACAAAATGAGGTGGTGCGCCATCTTGTTGAAAAATGATAGTATGATGGTCTTCTTCATTCTTCAATACTTGCACGAGGGCTGGATAAATAGCGTTCTCTAAAAATTCCAGATACACTTCGCCATTGAGATTATACCAGGTATAAAAAAGGGACCGCTTATGTAATAAAATGGTCAATAAAGTAGTAATAGCATAAATAAAAGTTCATTGTTTTATTTTCAACATACACTTCTGGTCAAATAGCATTTCCTGCGACGTTACGAGTCCTCTCTTTATACCTAGTCTAAGGTTGCACAAATGTTTAGTTATTAACATAGAGGCCATCTCTAATAAAATAAGAAGTTATTATAGAAAATAAGAAATAAAACTAGGAAAATACAGTAGTATTATTTATTATTTAATAATAATTTACATATAGGGTATCTCATTAAGAATGGGATAGAAAAACTGAAGATTCTCTGATTAAAAATAGGACGATTAAACGAAACATGATTGAGTAAAATGTTACTTGTTTCCAAATTAAAGTTTAAAATTTCATAAATTATTGATGGCTATAATTATTTAAATTACTCAGTATAATTTTATTAAATTCGGCAAATGTTTTTGGCTAAAACAACTTTGCCAGTGGCGTACGGCATGGGTAAGTAAATACCTTTAGCCCTTCTAAGTTTTGCGCAACTATCCAAAAGCTTATTTGGATTATAATTTTACATTTTTTTGGTGTTTTTTTTTTTTAAATAAATCATGTCGTCCTGTTGAAAATTGATAAAAAAATCCAAAATTAAAAAAATACATTAAAATAAAGAATGTCGACCTGTGAGTGTGAATATTTCGGAAACCAATATATCTTTATGAGTTCACACCATACATGATTTATTTAAAAAACAAAAAAATTAAAATTATAGTCCAAATAAGTTTTTGGACAGTGGCGTAAAATTTAGAGGGGATAATGTGTTACTTATCCATACCGTACGCCACTGCATAGCTTATTTAACTGATTTTTTTTGCTGATAGGTGTATTACACAAAAAATGTTTGCCGAATTTAGTAAAATTAATAAAAGTATAGCCATTAATCATTTTTGAAACTTCTAATCGTCTTATTTTTAATCAGATAATCTTCAGTATTGTTCTGTGTCCCATTCTTAATGAGACCCCTGTATATCCATGCAAAAAACGTTTCATTATTATTGAATATTTTTACAGTATAGCAATGTAACAATAATTGTTAATAATACAATAATTATATTAAATGTAAAATAATTTTATATTATTTGATCTACTAAATTAACATTAGATTTTGTAAAATATTGAATCTGTTATATTTGGTCTCTCTTTGATCAATATACGGGCCAATACACTTTTAGTATTTCCACCAGTGTCCTAAAAATGAAATATAAATAGAGTAAACCTAGAGCTGCAAAACGAATTATTTCTTTCTCTAAACTTTAATATTCAGACTTACTGTTGCAGAAATGACGAAACAATATGACTTAGCTTCTTCTCTATTCAATTCTGTTATTGGTGACAATACAACTTCTGCCTCTTTACGTGTGTCTTCGATTTCGAAAGGAATCATCGTAAAATCAAACAAATCTTCTTCGTGTCTCTAAAAATCAGTCATTAATTAAAAAGTATATACTCAGTGGCGTATCCAGTGTTTATAATGTGAACCCGAACTTAACATAAACCCACAATCTCAGGGAGGTATTTAATTCCATTATACACCCCTTCTATACGTCACACTGTGTATACCTATACAGTACAGGAAACAAAATACCTATGTAGGTACCGTATGTTAAGTGGAGTTCATTATCCAAACTAGTTAACGTTTTCTCGCTCGCCGTGCGACAAAATTGACAGCTTTGTTGCTCGACTCATTTCTCATGGCGAAAAGCATGTAAATTGAACACATGTTGCAGGCTAATTAATATATCGAGGAATATATTTAGTAAATAAAAATTAATTTCTACCATATTTTCACAATATAATTATTATAGTTAGGTAATTAAACTAGGTATATTAACAATATCCACTAGAAATATTCAGGGGGTAGGCAATATACAGGGTGTTTTTTAAACATGCGGCAAAAATTCAAGGGGTTGTTCCTTGGACAATTCTAAGAAAAATTCCGTTTCGTTTAGGAGATACAAGGGCGCACAACATTTTCGAGAAAACCGTTTTTATTATTTTTAAAATTATTAATATTCTAAATAAAAATAAATTAAACGTAAAAGTGATCAAAAAGGACAAAAGAAAAATAGTACTATCTTTTATCACCCTATTGACAATAGTTTTAACTACCTCTGATCAGTGGTACCTTTTTTCTATGGGTACCTCTGTTGGTACAGCTAGGCGGTAAATATTTTGTTTCCGTAACTGTAGACAAAAAAGTTTTAGCAAAATAGGTAATAATTATTAAATATCTTACAGATCCAGATATTTGAAAGTCCAAATATTGTAAAAAGCCATCAGGATCTGTCACTTTTAGTATACATGGACTGTTTCTATTTGTGTACATTACGTTTTCCTAAAAATACAAAAAAAAATATTTATTTCCTCGAATGTAGATACTCTATACAAGGGCTGTTCTCTTTCCGTTAAGCCTAGTGAAGCAACACATAATTTATTCAATATATTTTTGCATTCGCGAAAACCATTTTTGAAAACATTTTCTCCATGGCCATTACTGAATATAGTTCTTCCGAAACCACTTATAATAACAGAAAGAAAACATTCTCGCTCTTGAGATTGAAAGAAAATTCTGAAACACTTGCCTCTTATGTATTTTACACGTATTTTATTCTAACTCTAGAAACAGAATGTTCATTATGTAATAGCTACTGGCCAATGGCTATGAAAATACCACGCCTGCATCGTAGATAATCCAGAATATCATGACTGACAGTTCTATGCGACGCACAGCGTTTCGAACAATACAAGCCAGATGGGCAAAAATATTTAGTTGAAATTTCTTGTATCTATTCATGTTATGAACATTTTGTACAATAAAAATCTAATTAAGGCTTGTTATACAGTGTGTCAAATAAAGTTCGGCACCATATGGGAAACTTTTTTATTAATAATTTTACGAAAAAAAGTTATTCTTCATAAAGAGTTCTGCATAGTCTAAAATCGTAAAGTGCAACCATCAGAAATTAAATTTTTTAAGCTGTATGCACAGTATATTTACAAAATATTTTAAATTATTATCAGGATGTTCATGAACACAATACACGAAATAAGAAAAATTTTAGAGGTTATAGGGCCACGAAAAAAAAAATGTACACAAAATTCAGTGTTTTTAAAGGTGTACAGGCTCTTAATAATTTGCCTGAAGATATTAAATGTTCTCCAAACGCCGTAATATTTAAAAGAAAACTGCGTGAGTACTTGCTGACAAATTGACATTTTTTTTTCTTCTTTCTTGTTCTTTTATTATGTTTTGTATAGTTGACGTAAGTGTACTGTATCTTATGTATTTTTTATTGTATTTTAAATGTATGTTGATTCAATACACCTATGTATTTTTTATATTTTAAATGTGAAGATGTATTGACATGAAAAAATAGTTTTTTGACTAAATAAACGATTTATATATATTCATTTTAAGTAAAAAGTTCTTAAAATACAAATATATAAAATTTTGTCAGTCGTGTACGAGGTTTGTCAAAAATAAAGATACTAATTTACATTTTTTGACACACCTCATATACGGCTCAAACATTTAATATCCTATGGTTGTGTTTTGAGTTTTAGACCATGCAGAAATTTTTATTGATAATAAGTTTTCTCCATAAAACTAACAATAAAAAAGTTTCCCATATGGTGGCGACTTTAACCTACGAATGTTTTTTTTATTGTACAAAAGTGTGCTGACAGGAACTGTTATATTTAGAAACTGCAGAGTCACAGTTATGATATATAACAATTTAACATAGTTGCCAAGTTATAGATTATTTAATGTTCACGTTAGTTTAGACGAAATCAGTTATGGTAAAACTATTTCCATGGGAACGTTTAACATAGTAACGACTAAACAAAAAGCCAAATCCCATGGTGAGGAAATGCGTGGTTGCCAAGTTACAGATGATTTAATTTAGCTGTAATCAGTTACGGAGAAACTGTTGCCATAGAGACACTTGTCATGGTAACGACTAAATAAAAACCCAAATCCTGTGGTAAGAAAATGCATGGTTGGCAAGTTACAGGTCATTTAATTTTCACTTTAGTTTAGCTGAAATCGGTTATGGAGATGTAGTGATGTCGACTAAACAAAAACCTAAATGTAGTGGTGACGAAATGCGTAGTTGCCCCTTATATTTAGATTAACTCTTAACACAATATCCTAATCTAAACTAAAGTGAAAATGAAACCATCTATAACTTGGCAACTAGGCATTTTCTCACTACGGGATTTCTTTAGTCATTAGCATGACAAACATTTCCATGGCAACAGTTTCTCTATAAGATCACGCTACGCTCCTCCCATCCACAACTACTACAGAGGAAAGCGAGCGAAGCGAGCGCGCCCGGCCAATGTTTCGAAATTCGCGCGCGCGAATTTCGAAACGTCGGCCGGGCGCGCTCTTTTTCCACCTACATCATAAGATCACGCTACGCTCGTTCCACCCACCTACTAACCACTACTTGGCAACTACGCATTTCCTCGCCACGAGATTTGGGTTTTTGTTTAGTCGTTAGCATAATAAGCGTTTCCATGGCAACAGTTTTTTAATAACTGATTTCGGCTAAACTAAAATGAACATTAATTAATCTATAACTTGGCAACTACACATTTCCTCACTGCCGGATTTAGATTTTTGTTTAGTCCTTAGGATGACAAGCGTTTTCATGAAAACAGTTTTTCCGTAACTGATTTCGGCTAAACTAAAGTGAACATTAAATGATCTATAACTTGGCAACTACGCATTTCCCCACCACGAGATTTGGGTTTTTGTTTAGTAGGTAACATGATAAGCGTGCCCATGGCAACATTTTTTGCATAACTTATTTCAGTTAAATGAAATTAAACAAAAACCGTAATCATCTACAACTTGGCAACTACGCATTTCCTCACCATAAGATTAGGATTTTTGTTTACTCATAGCCATCACAATTGTTATTATGACAACAGTTTTTGCATAACATTATAAAAAATTAAAAGTACTCATCTTTATCTTCCAAATTCATCACTTATATACAGGGTGTTCTATATAAGTACCGACAGAGAACAGGTGCGTGTTGGGCACCTCAAAATATGATGATTTAACGCAATTTACTTTTATACCAAGTTGTACCCCTAAGAAGTTACAGAAGCCTGAAGTGGGGCCATAAATTTCGAAAAAAATAATATCTCTGCAACTGTTTAACTTAAAAAATCTATAAATGGTAAATTATTTAGACGCTTATCGATTTTATTAAAAGTAATTTGCTACTTGTTAAATTTAATTCAAAAATGCATGGCCAACTAAAGTTTCGTGATTTCTGTATTAACATTTTCATAATGTTTAATAAAAAATAAAGGGAGTTAAAAAGTTTTAAAATAACATTTGCATAAAATGAAATAAAAATTTTGGAAATCAACTGATGGACAAAAAAGTTATGTATATATATAACACGTGATGTATGGTTTACGAAAGAACGCGCCATGCATAGACCATATTTGCGCCGTGCAGCGTTGCCTCACACGCGCTGTACGTATCTCAATTTGCGCCTTGCCTTACGATAGCGAAGAAACACGACTTCACCAAGCACTCTATTGATTTCCTCAAAATATTATTCACTGTTTAAACCACGCTTGAAATTATACAAAATCACAGACAGATAATGCCCTTGTTCACTTCCATCACTTATTGGGGCAAGGATTACTTTAAACTTATGTAACTTACAATCAGGTATATTGACAACTGTCACTAACTAATCTTGTAAAAAAATAGATTGAAATGTCACACAAATTTTTTTGAAAACATATCATTGCCTACTAGATAGTCTCAGCGGAAAGAGTAAAAAAGTCCCCGTAGCAGCGAAAAGTGAAAAACTTTTAAATTAACTTAAATACCTATACTTACTTCAAAATAGCAATCGGTAATTTCCAAGGACGGGGCTTCATCGTCGACATTGTTAATATTGAGAATAACCGAGACGGGCTTTTCGTTGAAAAAAACTGATATAATTTTAAACATATAACTTTGTTCATCTGGTTTTTCGTAGTCAAAAGATTGTGTGGCATAAAAAGTACAGTTCCTTATTTCGTATTTGAAACCTTTATCTTTTTGGAAATTGATAATGAGATCAGAGCCTGCAAAATTGAGAAAATAGTTATTTACAAAAAATATCTTACTATGGACATGTAAGCATAATAACCGTATAAAAATACATTCAACATGTGGTTCATCCAGTGGCAGCTGGTGCTTATAAGTGCTGTGGAGTTGCATAACTGCCAAAAAATGCAAGTATCTCATTATATAGTTCCTCAAGGAAACATGGAAATTTCAAAACAATAGTATATTACCTAACAAGAGTTGTAAGTAACCCATTACGCACGACGAGCGGCGAGTGCGTAAATTTCACGAGTGCGTAATGGGCTTACAACTTGTGTAATCGTACTATACATTTTCTACTCCCACTTAAAACATTCTCAGAAAAGGATTTAACGTTATGCACCAATCCATAAATTTTCGATAGGTAATTTCGTACCTTTCTTTAGATTTTAGCGGTAACAAATTATGTGTGGCAGCTTGAGCTTTTTCTAAAATCTCCGGTGGAGTGCTCTAGTGCTCATAATTTCATCACTTTCACTACTAACAAACATATTCGTAGGTAAAGTTGAGAAAATGTTCGGATACAATAATATTTTGTTACAAAAATTAACAATATAAATGACATGACGTTTATTTCCATAGCATGCTAAGAAAATGCGACATATTTTTTGAAAAATGGTATAATGTGTTGCCAACATTTAGGGACATCACTCTTTTAATTCAAAATGTATCTCGCTAATGCTAAAAGTTTTTATATTTTTTAATTGACTAAATTTATGTAAATAGACCCAATAATCGTACGTAAACAAAAATTTGATGCAATTTGATTACATAAACCAAGAAATTTAAGTTTTCTTATCAAAACGCACGTGTATGTTATAAGATCTCATTACGTGCACGTTATTGTTAAATGTCATTTACAAGGAATGTTGACAGTGCGATTTATAACGTTTACTGACAAGGGCGTAGAAAAACAAAATTTTTGGGTGTAAATTTATCATCTAAATACTGCTAAAATCAAGTACCAATACCTACCTAAAAAGTAGCAGTATTAAATAGGTAGGTATATCACAAAGTAACGCAATTGTACGTGTGCACCTATAACACACTGAACGAATGCAGAAACGTAGGTATGACGGGTATATAAGGAATATCTTAAAGGTTCATTAGAATCTAAAGCCTTGTTTAGAGCAGAAGCGCGCGGTCGCGATGCGATAGCATTGCGTTAAGCGACGCGATTGATGATAGAGAGTTGAAGTTCTTCCAGTACGTTAACGTAAACGTGAACGTCAACGCACAAAAATAATGTTTACGGTATACTCCAAAATATGAGTTGAAGTTGTTAAACGCATCGTGACCCATCAAAGTATGTGATCGTGACCACATCGTGACATTTACGTGTCATGACAGATAATGACAATTATTATTAGGATTTCTTCTTTCCCAATTAAAAAGTGGTTATTTTGTTTGCGTTACGTGCATACGCCAGAGCTCGCAAGCTTACGTTTGTACGTAAACGTGAACGAGAAGGATATTTGAATACGCATGCGTAGATGTTAATTTTCACGTATACGTTTACGTTCATCACTTCAACTTTCTATTGCAGAGCATCGCATCGCTGGTCGTTATCGCGATCCACGACGCTCCCACTCTGAACAAGGCTTAAAACGCTGAACGATTGCACGAAAGTAGCTAAAGAGTATATTATGTAATGCTACCATTGAGATAGAATAAAGTACAGACGACATAAACACTAAACACTATTTTGCAATGCGCTAGTTCAGTGATGATGTAATTATGGTTCCACTGACAATTAAAGTGACAGTAGATTTTTTGAGTGCGTTTTGGTCGTTTTGTTTACCTATATCATATCGTTTTTTTTTCACTTTTATAAATATATTCCTAAAGTAAGTAGATAGCATGTATCAAATATACAATCGTTTAGTTACCAATTACATACCTTTAAACTATTTTTTATGACCTGTAAACAATATTTTGAAATAAAATAAAAACAGTAAAAACGTATATGTCAAATTTATTGATGTTTTTGTTAAAAGTTTGGTTAGAATTAAATGTCAGTGGAACCAAAATGACATCACACTGAACTAGCGCATATGACGGATTGACGCACTTCGGGTGACGGAAAAGTATAACGAAAATGGCGACTTGAGTTGTACTTTGATTTATTTGAAATCAATAATTTTAAAATTGAAGGCTGACGGAATGAAAATGATTTTATATCATTTAAATGAAGATATTTAAAAAAAAATTGCATTTATTTTCATCAAACTGACTAGATCCACTATCTCGAGTTTGACATATGACGTAAAAATGTAATGCAAAGGTGTGGACACTTTAATTAGATTTAGATTTTTATCACGATTGCAGCTTTACGATGTTATTAAAGCTAAATTGGTGAATAATAATAGACGATTCTAACACAAAAGATTATAAATTTCAAGATAAAAATTTGCAGGAAGAAACAAGCAATGCCAGTTTTGTTAGGTTATGGTACAAACGAATATCAGAAATCAGAGACGAACATTTAAATCTACAAATCCGCGATCAAAATCACCACCAGAATCAACCACTGACTGTCAGGATTCTCGCCGTAAATTATTTGGAGGACTGGACAGAATCTAAAGATTTCATAGTTAACTGCTTCTCATTATTTTAAGAAGAGTCCTTAAAAGATTTATATTAAAACACATAATCTGATGTTTATAGAACTTTTCGTGGATACATTTTATAGCAAATAATATTATTACGTTTTGTAAACGTAACAGCAGGTAGGTTAATTAGGTAAGCAACAAATTGAGGTTTTGATTCCCTTAACAGTCTTTTAAGAACGTTACATTTACGTTGTGTAATAATGTTATTACCTTCCCTTAAAGCAACATCGCAGAAAGGCTTGGCAACGTTATGAGCTAGCTAGGATTGGATTAACATTGTACATGCCAAACCGAGGGACCAAACAAAAAGCTGTAGAGTTGCAAGGGAGCTTTTTAGTTACCCTGACAACACTACAGCAAACAAATGCGCCTGATTATAGGCATTCTGACTGATCATTGCCAATTATAGAATCACATCAATATAGCATGTGGCTGTCAGTGTATCATATTGTTGAAACATTGATTAGTAGTAATCTACTAAATAATGATTGAGTACCATTTCATAGATGGCACTTCCTCCCCTTGACCCCATCGGTATAACGGTTTCTGGGCATGCGCATGGAGCAATGGCGAATGTCCAAAAAAGCTGACTAGTGCATTCAGCATTCAGTATTCAATATCACATCAAGCATATCCTCTATGATTGCCCGACGCTATCATTTATTAGAATATTTGTGTTCGCCGAGTATCGGCTAACACCGGCCGATCCACTGAACTATACAGGGTATTCTATATCAGACGAGTCACCACGTATATTTCTTATCCCATAGTAATTGGAAAAATTTCCCGAAACACGTCGGATGATTTTCTTTGGGGGACATCTTTTGACGTATATTTGAGGCTTGAACGAGCAACCCTCTATGAGGGGACGCTTCAACCCCTCAAAATTGAATAGGGAAGAGGGGTTGGGTGATACTTAATTTGTAAGGTCTGGGAAGCCTCTTTACAACGGTGTATGAAAAAAATTACATTCTTAAAAAAAATTAATTGTTTTATCATGCTTACAATCAAAAAAATCAAAACTGCGTTTTTAAATCAAATGTTCAAATTGTCCTCCATTGACTTTCATACAATAATACAATCTTGACTGAAAACCGTCTCTAACATGGTCCAGCATAATTGGAGTTATTTGACGACACTCATTTACAATTCAACTTGGCGTAGTTCATCCAAATTTTCAGGCTGAGTTACAAAATTCTTGGACTTAAGACGTCCCCATAAGAAGAAGTCCAGAGGGTTCAGGTCAGGAGAGCGAGCAGGCCACTCCATAGGACCTCTTCTTCCAGTCCAACGACCAGGGTATTGTAAATTGAGGTATTGGCGAACTGGTGCGGACCTCAATTTACAATACCCTGGTAGTTGGACTGGAAGAAGAGGTCCTATGGAGTGGCCTGCTCGCTCTCCTGACCTGAACCCTCTGGACTTCTTCTTATGGGGACGTCTTAAGTCCAAGAATTTTGTAACTCAGCCTGAAAATTTGGAGCTCCGTTTTGTTGGAAATGCAATTGTTGTTCAATTAGTAGAGGGTCGTTTTCTAATTTTTCTGTTATTAACGGATCAATCTTATTTTCCAGCATTTCAAGATAAATTTCGCCATTTAAATTACCAGGAATAAACAGAGGTCCAATTAGGTGGTCTCCCAAAATTCCTACCCAAACGATTAGCTTCTGCGGATATTGAGAGTGAGCTTCTCGAAATACATGAGGATTTGTATCGCTCCAAATTCTACAGTTATGCCGGTTAACCTCTCCATTAAGTGAAAAAGTGCATTCGTCAGAAAAGCAAACGTTGTACAAGAAATTTGGGTTATTGTTGATACGCTCGGCCATAATTTCGCAAAACTCTTGCCTACCGAATTTTGGGAATTTTTTCTAATTACTATGGAATAAGAAATATACGGGGTGGCTCGTCTGAGATGGAATACCCTGTATATTAAACTGGAAGAACAAAGCCGATCAACAAAATCAAGACGCATAGCGAAGTGATATTTGACACTCCGGCGCCCACATGTGCGTATCGAAATGCACTAAAAAGGATCATCAAAATTAAATTTAACACTTATTACATTCAACTACGACTCCTTTTAATTTAAGAAAATCACTTAAAAATGATTTTTGATTAATACTCAGCTGAAACAAATGTTCCAATAATAATAATTATTAAAATAGGGCGTTATTAATAAAAAATAATATAATTTATTGTAGTACGCCCGTGAAAAACGTGACGTAGAATGCTCGAAATTGACAGTCTGGCGTCCAAATTGTCATGCGCACCGACCGTTTTTTTCACTCTTGTGGGCTTAGAAATTAGGAGTAGAGTTTATGCCATATAGCCATCCAGTTTAATATCAAGGTCGGTGGGCTGATATAACAAAAGCACCTCTTGGCGATGTTGTCAACTACATTAAATGTGTAGGCTGGTTCACGAGCTAGGAGGTGTCTACCATCTTAGGAGGATGCACAATTGGCCTAATGAGGCCTAAGTGCAGTGGGGGACAACCCAGCCTTCCCACCTTACAGATTCAGAGGTGGTTATGTTGATGGAACTGGCAGATAGTAAGATCGTAGAAAAAAAAATACTTACAATTTTTCGCTTCAAGTATTGTAAACAGCGGGACTGGTTTAAAGAAAGAAACATTGTTTTCATTCAGTTGTATCTTGTATGTGCGATTGCGACGATTGAACTGAATGTTGTAGTTGTATTTCAGTCCTATTAGACTTATGGCAGAAGTGAGGTCTGAAAGACGTTAACAAAAAGTAAATTAACATTTTTTTGGGTTAGTTAAACCATTGTATTTAAATATTAATTAAATTAATTTAAGTATTAATGATTAATAGTATATTATTAAACGAGAAATTTATGGCCATAAATTGCGAGTCTAATACTATACTTTGTCCACGACCATTATGGTTTCTTTATTAAATAAAAGTTAAGTGTAGAATGGAAAGTTTTTATTAAACATAGGTAACTAACTAACTGTTGTTTTTTCGACTTTTCGATTTTTCGATTTTTTTTTCGATTTTTTCGATTTTTCGATTTTTTTCGATTTTTTGTTTTTTTTTTCGATTTTTCGATTTTTTGATTTTTTAGATTTTTTGATTTTTTTTCGATTTTTCGTCTTTTTTTTTTTTGGATTTTTCGATTTTTTTTCGATTTTTCGATTTTTTTCGTTTTCTTTTTGATTTTTCGATTTTTTTTCGATTTTTTCGATTTTTTTTCGATTTTTTCGAATTTTTTCGATTTTCCGATTTTTTTTCGATTTTTTGATTTTTTTTTCGATTTTTCGATTTTTTCGATTTTTCGATTTTTTGTTTTTTTTTTCGATTTTTTGATTTTTTCGATTTTTTGATTTTTTTTTTTCGATTTTTCGTTTATTTTTTTTTTCGATTTTTTCGATTTTCCGATTTTTTTTCGATTTTTTTTCGATTTTTTGATTTTTTTTTCGATTTTTCGATTTTTTTTTTCGTTTTTTCGATTTTTTTTGATTTTTTTTGATTTTTTTTGATTTTTCGATTTTTTTCGATTTTTCGATTTTTTTCGATTTTTCGATTTTTTTTCGATTTGTTTTCGATTTTTCGATTACCTATAAAGAATATTTTCATATCAGTTTAGACATACTTGCTGTCGTGACGTCATACCGTGACTAATGGATCATTATTTACTAGTGAATAATAGGTATTATTATTCTTAAGGAAGTACAAGTATAATGAATGTTTTATAGAACAGTCGTGGACAAACATATTTTTGTATTGAAAATTTGGAGTTTCCAAATAATATTTTTTTAATTTACGAAGTCATTACACCTTCTTGAATTACAATTATGAAAATAATAGTTATGGACTTACCTAAAAAGAAGACTAACCAAATAACCAAAATTAAATATAATTTTCCAATATCCATGTTAAGTTCGTGTATCAACGATTTACCAATAAAAAGATGATATTATCCTGAAAATTTACACGCAATACTGGCAATCTTATAATGTCATTTAGTAAGCCCAATTTGGCAACGTTTGCTATCCGTTACTTTAGGATTTTTGATATGAACACAGAACTGAAATTAGGAGAATGAATTTTACAGTTTACAAAAACGTTTCTACAAGGGGAATAAAATTGAGTTTTTTTTGAGTAGGTGCCAACCAAGGTCATAATTTGAAAAAATATATATAACAATGTTTTCAGAAAATAATTAACGGGGGGTTGTACAATAAGCGGTTAATCGTCCCAAAAAATGTTTTAAATTAATAAAATTAACATTTATTTTCAAATCACTTTCACAAATTAACATGTCAGACAGATACTCACTGCGCAAACTCAAACCTCAATTTTGAATCTCAACGGATCGTAAATTTTGAGCAAGAATCACATCAAAGTATGTGGCAAGAATTGATATCAAATCCATTCTCTTAATTTCAGTTCTGTGTATATGAATAATTCCAGTGCTATGTTGTCAGGTAGTTATTTTCTCGGCCAAATACAAATATATTTTTTAGATTTGGACAGTAATTTCAGGTTTATAAAAATGAATCTATATCTTGGGACATAGGCTAAGGTTAGGTTATTTGGATCAAAATATGGCGATAGGACCAAATATGCCTTAATAAAATATTGCTGTGGAATAAGATAAGGGCGAGTTATGATAACACAATCATAGGGAACACAAGTAGAATTATGCAGACGCGGCAAGTCCAAGATAAGTCCCCACCAAGATCTAGCGGCAACAAAACTAGTTCGTTACCGGCATTTTTTAGCTTTTACATTTTAACTTTTGTATTATTAGGACCTAAAATAAAGTTCCGCTTTTTGTGAAGTTTTGATATTAAAAAAAAAACAATTTTTATTAGCGAACCTAAAAGTGACGCAGTCAGTAGGATTGCCTAACGGTGTGACAACAAAAATCGTGTCAAATCGGTCTATTAATAGTTTAGTTGAAATCGCGAAAATTGGTAAAATAAACTGAGCAAAAAGTGTACAGCCAAACATAGGACCAACATTGCCGAAGTTTGGAGAACCTGGACGAGGATCACATCGCCAAATCCAGCTAGTTTAAGAACCTGGACGAGGACCACATCGCCAAATCCAGCTAGTTTAAGAAAATCAGGGAGAACATACAGCATCGCTTGACCCCGTTGATATGACGAAAATAATCCCAGGAATTGTGTAAGAAATTTTGCTCTCCTTTTATTTTAAACATTTTATTTCTTGAGTTGAATATATTAGTGATTTTTAATTTTCATTTTTGGGATAAAATAAATCATTGAACGAATTTATTATATTTTATGTCTGAGATGGACGAATTAGTGAATATTTTTAATAGTACTCTTGGGACAGATTCCTCAATAAATTTAGATAATTTACCTCCTATAAAAGAATCAGATTCAGAAAATTCATATTCAGAAAGTTCAGATTCGAATATGGCAGATAAAACTAATTATCCACTTTTGCAATTATATGTAGACACTATTCCAAATTTTGATGGGAACCCCCATATGTTAACTGTATTTTTAGATGCTTGTGAAAGCTTGATTGGACAATTTTCTGATCGGCAAAATAATGCAGCTACAATTAATGCTTATATTTTAAGAGCTATTACTCGTATTGGCAAATTAACCGGCAGAGCTTTGAGTTTGATAGGCTCCAGTAGCGAATTAACTGTTTGGATAGATATAAAAAATTTATTAATCTTAAGCTTCAGTGATCAGATAAATTTGGATTGTCATGTACAAGACTTGATTGCTTTACATCCTTTTAAAAATGAGGCCCCATGCCGTTTTGGTATGCGTTGCCATGACTCTAGAAGTTTAATTGTATCTAAAATAAATGCGTCAAATTTTTCACCTAAAGAAAAACGTATTAGACTTCAAAATTATAACGATTTAGCTCTTAAAACATTTATTCATGGTCTCACGGGTCAATTACAAAATAATGTTCATTTACGAAACCCAGATAGTTTAGAACAAGCAGTGGCATTTGTAGTCGAAGAAGAAAATTTTCTTTATAGTTCACAAAAATCAAATTTTTCAGATTGTCAAAATTATAGACCTGTAAATAACAGAAATAACTATTTAAAACCCCAGCAGCAAGGGCAACCACCACAACCATTACAAAAACCATTTTATTCTAATTATTTTAACAGATTTCATTCAAACTTAAATAATTTTTCAAGACAAAATAATCAGAATTTCCAAAATCAAAATTTTCAGAATCAAAATTAATTCGTTCAGAGACCCCAGTTTAATCAGTCAAATAATTTCAATAATCAGAATTTCAATCGAAATTCAAATAATTTCAAAAATACAAATTTTTGTCAATATTCGACTAGTTTCAACCGAAATAGTCAAATTTCAAGAAATACCAATTTTAATAATAGATCAAATAGTATCCCAGAGCCAATGGATACGTCATCTGGAAATACGCGTATAAATAATCATAACCTTTACTTGCAAAATTCTGATCAAATAGAAAACCAATTCGAATATTCATTTAATAATCAAAATAATAACGGTGAATACCACTTCCAAGAAAATAATGATTTCTCAACATTTAACACAACAAACGACAATAATAGTCCTTTTCAAAAACAAGACATTGGGTCTATTGAATAAAGAAAAGTATTACCTTGCAAGTCATAACTTATAAGAAAAAGCTAAAACTTCTAAGTAGAAGCTAGTGCTTATTTTTATTTGAATAAAAACTAGAACTCTCTCGAAAGTAAATACCGGAAAAAACTTTTGAATTTTGAGTAATTACTTATAAGTACTTACTTATATTTACAAGTATTTACTTTTTTCGTTGCGTATGACGAATGAAATACATGGGAACGCAAACGCAGCCCTCTAAACAAAAATTAATACCAAACAAGTCGTGACAGGATTGTGTGCAACTGCAAGTAAGCATTTGTTTTCGAGTGAGAAAAAATGAATTGCCAGTAAAAATTCGCGGTTACAGACTTATGTTTGTTAAATTGCTAAAAAAGTATAAGGTTCTTTTGAATAAATCAATGATTCCTACTATAGTTCAAGCTAAAGAAAAGGCATGGAAAGATCTGAAAGACGAATTTATCAAAATGTCTGGGACAAATACTACTATTGAAAAGTCTACACTTTCACTTTCAAAACGCAACAAGAGCTTGGGCTGATGCTTCTCTTTCTATAGTTTTTCCTGTTACGAACATTTATGAAGTCCACCATGTTTAACAAAGTATACTAGCAACTACCGTCGAGAAAAAAGGATGCTTTATAGCTACCTTAAAAATCATCAAGTTATAACTGACTAATTTAAGACAGATCTTATTTTTATTCAAATAAAAATTAGCCAGTACTGAAAAAATATAAGTAAATCCTTATATTTGAAGTAACTACTTGAAACCATAAGAGTTTACTTATGGCCATAAATAATCTCTTTTACATGAAGTAGTCACTGACCTTTTATTCAATTTATACTGAGAAAATACTTAAGTAAGAGGAAATGGAAGCCAATACTTCTTTTTACTCAATAGACCCATTAACTCGAATCCAACACAGCTGACATATTTCCATGAACCCTCTCAAGGTCCATCTTATGATACTTTTAATAACCAAGTTTCAAATTTTCATATGGGAGCTCTAACACGAGTTGAAAATGTAATTAATACGAACACAGTGAGATCAAATTTACCTTATATTTTAATACCAGAAATAAACACAAATTTCTTAATAGACACTGCTAACAGTAGAAGTTTAATAAACTCATACATTTTATAAAAAATATATTTTTAACGAAGATTTTAAAATACAAACGGTGCATAATATAAGTCATCATAACGAAGTAATTCAAATTCCCATTTTTAGCATTTTTAATGTAGAAAAAGAACAAAAATTTCATGTTTTTGATTTTAATAAAAATTTCGAAGGTCTTATCGGAATTGATCTGCTCGAACAATTAAATGCAAACAGTTGATTTTAATAAAAATTTGATTATTACGCCATCAGTTCAAATACCAATAATTCTCGAATCCAAAGATTTAATTAAATTCGATTCTAATCTAATAGAAAATTATAAAATTGTAATTTCTGAAAAATCAACAAGAATAGTTAAGGAACCAGTAACAATAAAAACATAAAAAACAAATACTAATATTGACACATTATCAATAATTTCTATAAATGCTCTAGAAAACGAATCACTTATTAATAACCCTGGAGACATTGACAACGATTTCTTAGACGTTTATCTGAAAACCCAGTAGAAAATGACAATCTCGACAATAGTACCCCTAACCAATCTAAAATTAAAATATTATCAGACGTACAAGTCCTCCTGACGAACCATCAGGAAATGTTTTCAATCAACCCAGCATATGACAACCAATAGGTTTGTTCCCGAAGCGAGTTCCAAACTTGTTACAAACATTATCTGATACGCATACGTGAGCAGAATAATGTTCGGAATGAGTTCTAAATAAATGTGTGCTGGAACGTTAAAAAAAATAATGTTGCAGTTTTAACTAAATATAGATCATTCGATTATATTTTTTAAGAAAAGAAGATAATGAGGATGTACTTTATGATCAATTCAAAATCGCACAAACAAAAACTACCCTCCTTATTATATTTTTTGCTGTTACAACGCTGTATAAGATTTTAATCAAAATTAAAGATAATAGGCATTCACAAAACTAACTTAAAATCCAATTAAAAACAAAGGAAGAGAAGAAGAAAAATTATTTTAAATAAGCACGCATGTGCGAAAGTAAAAGTTCGTATTTTATTTAGGAACTACTAAAACTAGTTACAAACACGTTATGAACAAGTTTTTAATCTTGCGGAAACGCCAAACAAGTTCAATTTTTTTGGAACTTTGCTCTGCTGGAACAGTCATTTTTTACTGCGCATACTCAATATGTTAGGAACTCGCTTCGGG